ACAAAATTTATCTCTCATACATCTTATCAGGAATAGTTTGGAAATATTTTTTTCCGTTCCCATTTCACATTCACCGTTTCCCGTTCAGATATTGCCAGGGTAATGTTTGCAATGTTTCACACCCTTACGTATTAGCATAGTTATATTTTTAGATATAATTATTTGATATACTATTTATCTATATTAACATTTTTAAAGCAATTTTTCAAATAAATCCTAGACTTTCAAACTATTTACAAAAAATGTCACTGCCTTTAATACACTATCTTTAGAAATAAATGGAAAATTGTTAGAAAATAATAAAATTGGAAATACATCGATATTTAGAAGATTTAAAATTATGGTTCCCCTATCATATTTTTGATTTGATTTTTAATTGTTTTGAATCATCATATAACACATAAATGAATAAAATTTAGTTTTGTTGTTCTACATATTTTGTGATTCAAATTTTTTAAAACGGATATATATCACTCAACTAATATAAAGAGTATGTGTACCACATCTCAAATCCGCTTAAATATTAGAGAATGATTCAAAATGATATTATACATATGATCATAATGGATTTAAATCCGAGTGAGCAGAAAGTTTCATTTAATAGTTTCACTTAATAAGCATCCAAAGTTTGAAATTTGTATATCAATTAGTTCGATTTTTAGGTGAATTTTTTTTTATTTTGCCGTATATAGTCAATTTTAAAATTTTAAAAAGTTTAAAATATTATAATTTATATATTTAAATTTAATAAAAAAATTAAAATAACACAAACGAATTATGTTGTAGGACGGGTTGTATGAACCAATATTAATTATTAAAAATTAAAATGTCATTAATTAATATGTTATTTTTTATTTTTTACTTAAACTTCTACTGAATTTCAATAATTATAGTATTTAATCTTTTGAACGTGTATTTACCTAATTTAAACTGTATATATGTAAACATATATACAATTTAAAATACTATAAATATCAATTTATTTTAAACATTTCAAAAATTAAAATATTATAATATTTTGAAATCTATTAGTTTAAATTAGAAAAAATATATTAAAAATCTAAAATATGTTTACAAATACAAAAATTCGAATTTAATAGGGCACATTTTATGGTAACAAATTTATTACGATTTCCATGAATAGTAGTTAGTGTAACGCCCGTGTCTGGAAATCCGGGTGGTTTCGATCGACACTGTGGTTGGGTGTCGATCGACACTAGTATTTCTGGTTTGACGGTTTAAGTTTTAAATCGTCGGTTCAATTGAGGCTTGGTTTGGGTTGGTTAACTCTAGGTCGTGTTTAAAAGAGGGAAGGTCGTGTGTTGTCTCTTCCCAGCCGCTTTTTGACACTTCCAGAGAGAGAAAAAGGTTCTAGAGCTTCTGAGGGTTTTGTGAGTCTTTGGTGGTGCTTGGTGGTGTTCTTGGTGGTTTAAGGCTAGTAGAGGCTAGATCAGTGTTGTGTGGTGTTAGAGGAGACAGATCCTTCCTTGTTCTTCCTTGTTTTCGTTGCTGTTCTTCTTGTTAAAGAGGTGAGTGCATGACCAGGCTTATCTAAGCATGTTTGATCTTTATTTTAGGGTTTTGATGATTGTTTGATTGATTTCCTTTGCTTGTTTGGCTGTTTATTTGATGATTGATGCCTGTGGAATCCTTTGTAGACTCGTTCTTATCGTGGTGGTCTTTTGGAGAAGAGATCCAGTGAGAAACGCAGTTGGAGCGTCTGCTGAGAGTCGGTGTCGATCGACACCAAGGGTGGGTGTCGCTCGACACCAACGTTTCATCGCGCGAGGATAACTGCGTCTTACGATTGGAGTGTCGAGACCGGTGTCGTCCGCGAGGGTCGACAGCGAGTGTCGATCGACACCAGTGGAGGGTGTCGATCGACACCGATAGTCAGAAGCGATTCTGGTTTATCTTTTATTGGTTGTTTGGTTCTTTTCCTTGGATTATGGTTGAATGTGCTTGTGTGTATAGCCAGTGGTGGTATGATTGCCTCACTAAGTATTTATGAAATACTTATGCATCTCTTTCTTTGATGCAGGTAAAAGCAAAGTGTGACCCATGGAATCATGGCGAGTAGAGGAGGATGATCTATGCGCTCATTGGTGTTTAGATGATTGTAGGTTTTGTTAGGATGATAGAATGAAATTTAGAAACATGTTAGGATGAATTCGTTTCTGGAATATTGATGGTTGAACTTGTTGGTTTAATGGAATGGTTTGATTGGATTTTTATTTAAGTCTTCCGCTGGTTACGTTGAGTTGGTTGTGTTAGTAAAATTGTCTGGGTTGCTTTAAATGTGTTAATCTGGATTGTTTGCATGCAAGTAAAATAAAAAAAAATTGGGATGGGTTCTTTCAGTTAGGTATTAGTTTTGATTAATTTATTTATTTTAAAGCATAATTATTTCCTTTGAAAATATATTTTGCTGTCTTCAAGATATTTGAAATTTTTAATATGTATTTTTGAAATTCCTCCATATAATAATGCTTAAACTTATAAATTTTTAATTGAGTTTAAATATTTCTAATATTTTAAACTTTACATGGAATTTAAATATTTATAATATTTTAAAAACTTTTAAAGGAGTAAATATTAATAATAACTAAACTTCTATAGAATTTAGATATTTATAATATTTTAATCTTTCCTTGGACCTAATTTATTTCATACTTTTATTTACGTAATATAAACTGTTTACATATATACAATTTAAATACTATAAATATCAATTTTTAAAAATTTGTTTACAAATATTCAATTTCGAATTTAATAGGCCACATTTTATGGTAACAAATTTATTATGATTACCATGAAAATTGGTTAGTAATATATTTTGCAGTCTTCAAGATATTTGAAATTTTTAATATGTATTTTTGAAATTCCTCCATATAATAATGCTTAAACTTATAAATTTTTAATTGAGTTTAAATATTTCTAATATTTTAAACTTTACATGGAATTTAAATATTTATAAGATTTTAAAAACTTTTAAAGGAGTAAATATTAATAATACCTAAACTTCTATAGAATTTAGATATTTATAGTATATTAATCTTTCCTTGGACCTAATTTATTTCATACTTTTATTTACCTAATATAAACTGTTTACATATATACAATTTAAATACTATAAATATCAATTTTTAAAAATTTGTTTACAAATATTCAATTTCGAATTTAATAGGCCACAGTTTATGGTAACAAATTTATTATGATTAACATGAAAATTGGTTAGTTATTAGTTTTGATTTTTTATTTATTTTAAAACATATTTTTTTTCTTTTGAAAATCTGTCATTAATTATGTTTGGCTATAGATTTAGTATTACATTTTATATCATTTTTTCAATTTAATCTGTTTGGTTACACTGACAAAAAATGCTACCCTTTTAATAGTATAGATATATTGATAACATGATAGCATCCACATGAAGTAATGAATTAGTACATAATAATGATACTGTATTTTGTTTATGGATTTTGTTTTCTGTCCACTTTGCTAAAAAGATTGATTAAATAGTAAATGATTTTTTAACATTTTTCCTAGAAGTATTTTTATTATAGAAAAAAGGTCGTATTAATTTTAGTGCGAGAAATACATTATTAAGTGGAAACATGACATATGCTTAAACTGAAATTTGATAATCGTTACGCCAAACTTTTATATATATATATAGTTTGATTTCTCTCTAATCAACTTTTAAAAACGAAACAGAGATGATGTATTTGGCTTTTAGTTTGATGTTATCTGTATTGCTAAAGTCGACTACATCAGAAATTTTTCAATCTAATCACTTCCTTTCACCGACAACCATCAGAACAATTGTGTCTCCGGGTCAAATTTTCGAGCTAGGTTTTTTCACCGGCGACGGCGCTCATTGGTATCTGAGAATTTGGTACAAGGATGTCCCTAAAAAGGACTACGTGTGGGTTGCGAACAGAGACAATGCTTTGTCCGACCCCGTTGGTAGCTTGAAAATAACAGACTCCAACCTCGACATCCGAGATCAATTTGATAAACTGATCTGGTCGACAAATCTTCCAAGGAGAAAAACAAATGATCCTGTTGTGGCAGAGCTTTTAGATAATGGGAATCTTGTACTGAGATGCAATAGAAGAAACTCCTCAAATCATCTTTTATGGCAGAGCTTTGATTTCCCGACAGATACATTGCTCCCGGAGATGAAACTTGGCTGGACAAAGCGAAGCGGCAAAAACAAGATATTGAGATCATGGGCAAGTGACCGTGATCCATCAAGTGGGAGTTTCACCTACGAGATCGAAACTGTTGGAGGCGCTTTGCCACAAAGAGTGATAAAGGAAGGAGGCAGAACATTAGTATCCCGTGTGGACTCCTGGAATGGTATTGGGTCCGTTGGTCTACCCGCAACTCATGTAACAGGAAAAATCCAATTTGATTTTATCATGACGGATGAGGAAATCTCTTACTCCTTCAGACTCACCACGAAAAATCTACATTCGAAACTACAAATGACCCATACGGGGAGATTGGAGAGGGTGGCAAGATCTCCGAGAGAAGACGAGTGGGTGGCTTATTGGATAACTCCGACGGATAGGTGCGACGAATATTCGGCTTGTGGACCTTACGGTCTGTGCAACATTAACACATCACCAATATGCTCGTGCATCCAAGGTTTTAGTCAAAGGAACAAGGAGGCATGGACGGGGATGAACTTCAAGGATGGATGTGTTAGGAACACGCCACTTAACATCAATAGTGATGGGTTTCACCACCTGAACAAGATGAAGCTGCCGGATTCGAAAGCTGTAACGGTGGAAAAGGGACTCGAGTTCAAGGCATGTAAAAAGAAATGTGTTAAAGATTACAATTGTACAGCTTTTGCCTGTGTCGATATGTGGAATGGCGCTGGGTTGACTTGTCTGATATGGTCTGGAGAGCTATTTGATTCAAGAATATTTTCCTCCCACGGTCAAGATCTCCACGTCAGATTGGCCAAGACTGATCTCGGTAAGTTCTGTCCCTAGTTAATATATATCTAAGTGTTATGAACCAATTCTCAAAACCAATACTAAAAGCTGATAAAGACCAAAACCAAAACTAATTAACGTTCCAAGCCATACACTATAATCAACCAAACCGTAGTCTTGTATCACTAAGATCTATTGAGAAGATTCGTCAAGATCTCTGTTCCTACTTCCTAGACACATCATCATTACTAGCTCATCAGCTATATATATATATATATATATATATATATTTTAGATAATATCGCATCACAAAAAGTTTAATATATATATATATATGACTCTTTTTGTTTCTCTTTTTAAAAAAAAACAAATTTCTGCAGGGGATGACAGAAGCATAAGTATAAAAACAATCATTGGCTTGGTTTTTGGAGTTGCGGCTGGTGTGATCACTTTCTGCTTTGTCACGTTCCGTTTTTGGAAAAGAAGGCAGAAACGATCAAGGGAGATTGCAGTGGAAACAAATATTGGTATATCTCTATAAATGTTTTTGTAAAAAAATTGAGTCAATTTTTTACTTGAATACACACTTTTTTTTGTTTCTCTTAACGCAGAGGTAATACCAAGCAGAAGATACTTGTCTCCATTAGACAATGAAGATCTGCTGGCAAGGATGGACTTCAAAACCATCGCCTATGCGACCAGAGATTTTTCTACCGTACTTGGACAAGGCGGTTTCGGTTTTGTTTACAAGGTAACAACACTACTAGAGATGTTCTTTAATTGAAAACAACAAAAAAAAATATCCAGCAATATTGTTCTGACTTATTAATCTTGTTTATTTTCTTTCACAATATTAATTAATCATGTCATCTTTTATAATTCCACAATAGGAAATTAACAAATCATAACACTCAACATGTTCTTTATAACTCTAAAAAAACAACATTTATAGTTTTATACATAAACAAAAGATAATAATTTGGTAGATCTCAAACCAAATTAAATGTACCAGAGTTTGTCCTCCAAAGCACCACAAAGTCAATAAAAACTTCATTACAAAAAAAAAACAAAAAACAAAAAACTTTATATTGTATCTTTAAAAAATCACTTTTAATATTCTGACTTGTACATAAACCATGAGTATAGTTTGTTAGGTCTCAAACCAAAATACTAGAGCTTCAAGAACACACAAGTCAACAAAAGCCTCATTAAAAAAAAAAAAACATAACTTCATATTAGTCAATTTGCCCGCACATACCTTAATTTCATAACACCTAATTTTATTAAGTATAATTTGCCCTACTTAAAATACATAGACACCAATTTTAATTTTCTTTCTTGAACTTACCCTCACACACGTTAAAAATGCATATCTTTTATATATATATATATATATATATATTTTAAAAATCTTATAACAATTAAAAAGGAAAAAAAGAGTGTGCCATTAATATTAACTATGTAAATTATACATCACTAATCCATATATCTTTTTTTTTGTTTTTGACATCCACTAATCCATATATCGAACTAGGCGATAGTCACAATGATAGTAACTTTATGAAATTTGTGATGGTAGGGGACACTACAAGATGGCACTTTAGTAGCAGTTAAACGACTTTCAGATATGTCAGTTCAAGGGACAACGGAGTTCAAGACCGAGGTGGAGTTGATTGCGAAGCTTCAACATATCAACTTAGTCCGCCTTCTCGGGTTTTGTGATGACAACGGCGAAAAGATTTTAATATATGAATATTTAGAAAATCAAAGCCTTGATGTCTACATATTCGGTTAGTACTGTCCACTAGCTTGTTTATTTCAAGTTTAGTTCTTACAGTTAATTTGCATTTTTTTTTTCAAATATATATTTGGGACAAGTAAGCTAAAAAAGCAATCTCAAATTTTTTTAGGCAATACTACTGAGAGCCGTAAGCTAAATTGGCAGCAACGATTTGCGATTGCTAAAGGGATTGCTCAAGGTATCCAATACATTCACCAAGAATCACGCTTTAGGATCATCCACAGAGACATCAAAGCGAGCAATGTTTTGCTTGACAGAGATATGATTCCGAAAATCTCCGATTTCGGGCTGGCTAGGATCACTCGAAATGAGACTGATCAAGATAACACACGGAGGGTAGTTGGAAGTTTGTAAGTACTTATACATGCATCAATGCTCATTAGCAAAAAAAATGTTTTAATTCCTAACTTTAAAGTTTGATTGTTGTGGTTACCTTCTAGTGGCTACATGGCCCCGGAATATCAAACAAACGGATCATTTTCAGTAAAGTCGGATGTGTTCAGTTTTGGTGTATTACTCCTTGAGATTATATGTGGCAAAAGGAATAGGGGGTTTAGTAACTTAGAAGGTGACACCAGTCTTCTCAGCTGCGTAAGTAAATTAATTACGTGAAAAAAAAAACTTTGATTTAATTAACGTGCTTATGATTTCATTTTCAAGCTTGCTTAATAATAACAAAACTTAAAATTCGTTTTTGTGTGAATAGGTATGGAGAAACTGGGAAGAAGAAGATTGGTTAAAAACGGTTGATCCGCTTGTTGTAGATCAATTATCATCATCATCATCACCATCAACGTCACAAGAAGTTCATAGATGCCTTCAAATAGGTCTCTTGTGCGTTCAAGAACATGCAGCGGACAGACCATTGATGTCATACGTCGTGATGATGCTCGGAAGCGAAGCACCGGTTCCTCAGCCTAAACCGTCCGGTTATTGTTTTCACTGCGTTGGCAAAAGGTCACTTGAGAGTGGTTCTTCGTCAAGTACACAGCCAACCCAAGATTCTTGGACAGTGAACCAGATTACCGCTTCGGTCATAGACCCTCGGTAATGCAAGTACCAAAGAAGTAAGTTAATCCGTAAATAAATGCCTTTCTGAAACTATTCCATAAAATTTGGATTACTGTTTCTATTCTAATCCATAACTTATACTGTAATGCAGCGGAGGTGATCGATCGTATGCGATGGCAGTACAATTGGAGATAGCCGAAACAAAGAGTTGCAAAAGACATACCAAACACTAAACGTTTAATTAAACTATTAGTTCGCGACCAAGTTGTGTGTTGGTTGCTACCTATAATTATGTCTGTTTTTAATCGTCATCATGCATGATAGATATAAACTTCCCTAGTTCGCGACGTGGCAGCTAAAACTGGAATTGTTTTGAATAAGATAAAGAGATTTACTCTTGTTGGTAGGAGTTTACTCATGTTGCAAAGCGATAAAATGTTTTCTAAGAAAATCTAACGGCTCAATAGAGCACAAAGTAACAATTATGTTTTCACATTGTTCATCAAAAACAAAAGAGCAACAATATTAATCAACTTCACATAACTCCATCGTTTTTGTCACTTAAGCTCCCCTTAGCCATTCCCACCTGCAAATACAACGAGGCCAAACAAGTAAAAGAGACGAAACCCTGGAATAACATTAATGACTCTTAGTCCACACCTCTTAAGTTCATGGGACTCCAAATCCATTTTTTTTCAGGTTTCAGAGAAGTAAAGAGCTGAAAGAGCATACCAAATGTTAGCTCAACGACCAGCATTAAGAGAGAAGAGCATGCTTTGTCCACCAGGTAAGTAAGCCACATTCGGAGACCTAGACAGTGTAGCTGCAACCTCCCTTGAAGCCTCAATCCTCCTAAGCTCGATTAGTCCCATTCCTGCTTTAGCTGTTGCATCTGAAATCAACTGAGCAGCTTCACTCTCACCTTCCGCTCTTATAACCGCAGCTCTCCTTTCTTGATCAGACTTCATCACCACAAACTTCGACCTCTCTGCTTCCTGTTGAGCCACTTGCTTCGCCTCAACTGCCCTCGAGAAGTCTGCACCGTACGATAAGTGTGTGATGGCAACGTCGTCGAGCTCAATGTTAAAATCCCTGGCACGCTTGACAAGAGCATCACGAACAAGTGCTGATACTTGAGGACGGTCAGTGAGAAGCTGATCAGCATTGAAAGTAGCGACCACAGCTTTCAAGATCTCATTTCCAATCGACGGAAGAACCTTCTCATCATATTCTAGACCCAATGTTTGGTAAATGGTCGGCAGACGTGAAACCTGAATTCAAAATGTCCATCACCAAAAGCTTCTATACATGAGTAACACCATCCAGGAAAACCAAATTATGCATACGGATTACCCCTATAACCCTATAACCCTAAATCTTGTATACAAGTTGAAATCATCCACAAGCAATCTCCACGGAATCAAACACAGTATCGAGAAACGATTACTAAATCGAATCCGATCATACCTTGATGATTAAACTAAACCCTAAATTTTGAAATCATCCAGAAATTGGACAAAGAATCGAGAGATTGAGTGCTCAAAAATGTACCTCAGGGCGAAAGAGAACACGAAGGGTGAGATTAACCATCTGAAGATCCTTGGTACCAGATTTGGAAGAGAAAGTGTGAGGTTTCGTGCGGATATCGTAGATGAAAGGCTTCTGAAGCCACGGGATCAAGAAATGAGTCCCTTCACCAACAGTCTGATCCAGCACTCCCCTGAACCTATCGAACAACACTGCTCTCTCGCCACCATCAACCGTGTAGAGCGACTCGTTCAGTGTCGTCGCCGCCGCACCTAAACCGAACGCCGCCTTCGCCAAGTTCGTCAGGAACGAAATTGCTTTTTGTTGACTTCCCATTTTTTTTCTTCACCCCAACAAAAAAAAAAGAAAGAAGAAAGCTTCGAATTGAGGAAGAAGAAGATCTTGGGGGTTTGTTAGGGTTTATGAAATTATTTGGAACTTGGGAGAGAGGATTATTTTCATTTTGAACCGACAATTATAGTACATGGGCCTTTTTAAAGCCCATTTTCATTAACTGCTGAGGCCCAAATATTAATATTTCAATAATAGAAAAGTAAAATAAATAATAATAGAAAACAATGGAAATTTTCAAACAAAAAAAAAAAAAACCTAAAAGGAATGAGCAAAGTAACAACTTATTTTAATTTTACTGTGAATGTGAAGATCAATTCTGCACATTCTAATTAAATTCTACACAAACATTATGATAAAAAATATTGATGAATAATTTTAGTCAATAGCATAACATGCCTAGGTTTGGTAAGAGATAACAAACTGTAAAATGATAAGCACGATAATTATTGAATTAGTGTCCACTGATTTTGCTAGTGAACATAGTCATAAAATGTGGCTATGATATTTTGTTATTTGGTTCTTTTTTCTATTGATGGTTTGTGTAATGATAAAACACAAACCTTTCTCACAGAAAATAATAATTGAAAGTTTTTGTTTATATTCTTATTATCACCACATTTTAGCATAACCTTAATAAAACACAAATTACTATATCAAAGGGAATTATTGTCTAAAGGGAATTATTGTTACCATATCAAAGGAATCATTTTGATAAATTCAGTGGAATCATTTTGATAAATTCAGTGGAATCATTTTGATAAATTGTTACCATATCAAAGGGAATTATTGTCTAAAGTGCCATTTTTGCCCAACCATTTTTTAAACTGCCATTTTCTCAATTTTCTTACATCTTTGCCATTTTCAACTTTTAAAAACTAAAAATGTGAGATAATTTTTCATAAAACACATATTTTATAAAAAAAATCTATACCCTACAAAAATTTGGAACCTAATCAACCCAAATATCATGTTATATTTGAGTTTTTGTATATAAGAAAATAGCAATTGTAAAAGTTTTTCTAGAAAAGTGACTAGATCCGCCCCTGGGTCTTGATTACACATCAATTTTTTGTCTTTGTTAGAGAAAACAATGATAACTTATTAATACTTTCTTGATTAATAAACACACACTAATATAGTGGACTTGGAATCTTGGATATATAGTTTGGTGTTGATGTGCTTGCTTAGAAAAAAAATTTCTCTTATTTTTTTCTAGAAAATCAGAAAACGTTATGCGCGCAAACGTATAGATGTAGAAGTCTTAGAAGATCAAACATATTTAATATTTGCTAGTAAAAAAAAATCACGTACGAGACGTTATAGACTTAGAATAAAAAATTGTTAAATTTGTAAACAATGTTCCATACGATTGGCTCATTTGAGTTGATCTTTTAGTATGAGGTTGACAAAAAAAAAAAAAGACTTAGAATAAAAATTATACAATTAATGATGTTTTGAAGTTTGAATGATGAATTAGTTTGACACTATTGTGAATTGAGATTTGAGGACTACGTACCATCTTTAACCGGATATATCCGACTAAAATTTGCAACTAATTATGGAGGAGTCTAGTAGTTTTGGGCACAATACTCATAAACACAAAAAACAAATCCGAAAAAAATGAAATAAACCAAAAACCGATAAAATAATCAAATAGATTTTAAACTCAGAACCGAAAGAACCGAACATGAACAGAAAAAAAAAAACCAAATGGGTATCGAAATACTCAACATATAGGTTATTTATTATATATTCAAATATATGAATTATTTTTAGATTTAGTGTAATTTGATTAGCAAAATTATGATTAAAAATCCGTAAATTTAAAATATGTATAGACTAAAATAACCAAAATATCTGCAAGTTCTAAAACATAGTAATCCAAACCTAACTAAATTTTATCTAATTTAGTTATAAAAATAAATTATATTATTTTAGGTATCCGGAATTGAATCCAATAGATTTTAAACATCTTTTCTCAAAATATCCAAAACTGAATGTATCTACCTGAAACAAATCGAATAACCAAACACCTAGAATCTACAGGCAAAAACATTGTTGCGACACTTAATTAAAAAATAATATTTGGTGATTACGATTTACCATTCATTTTGTAATAATTTTTACAATTTACAACATTAATTATCCTCAACAAATTTCCGTAAAAATTACCTAAATGAAGACTTTTAAATATTTTATACTCTATTATGTATATTGTATTCATATATGTACAAATATTGTAATGAAAATGTTGATTTCGCATTTCTAACAGTTGACTGGTCGTTCCCTGAAAAGTCTTCTTTCGTTTGTGCCATTTATACATTTTTATGAAACCTCCCAAACTCAAAACACTAAATTGTTTATTCACTCAAGTTTTGTTAAAGATCATCCGTATCAAAATAAACAATATATACAAAGCTTGAGTGATACAAATCTTGTTAAAATTGTTTTTTATTTTTTTTTAAATCATTTATCGGATACCATAATTAAAGAACTTTTCTTGGATATGATTGTGTTACTTGTTTAGCTAATCACGTTATCGTCTCTATCAATGATATTTTATTAATTTGATTCAAATACAATTACTTATGTAGTTAAATTTCTTTTTTTAAATCTTTTTTTTTAATGTATATACAATATGTGTGTGTAACGACAACTAAGAATGTTTATAATATGAAATCGTGGTGTGAACAAACACATTTTAAATTTCTAATCATTAATCATTTTTATTTTTTCTTCCTTTAAGGCGGGTGCATGTAAATTACTTTAACATCAATATAGTTTATTGGAACATAAAATTTTCATACAAGTATATATATAACTAAGGTTGCCTCAGTTTTGTGAAGACTCGTTAAGCTAATATATAAGCTCTTTTGTATATCTTCTCTCTTTCTTCATCTTTGAATCTTTCAAGTTCTGTGTCACCATGGGAATGCAAGCTCCTGATGAAGATTCATACACTAACAATGTTAGTTTTCTAGCTCTTACGTTTCTGTTTTTGGGACTATATAATAATAAAAATTACTCCTTCAAATATTTCATGAAACCCAAAATAATGAGCGTGTTAATAATTAGAAGTTTTGCTTGATATAACTTTTTATTTTATTTTTTCCAAATGATTAGACATAGAAAAATAATAACAAATATACAGATGTAATTGATGTTTTGTTCATATAAACAGATGGATGAGAAAACAGCAAGAGAAAAAGAAATCGACGCATGGCTTCCGATAACGTCATCAAGAAATGCAAAGTGGTGGTACTCTGCGTTCCACAATGTCACGGCCATGGTCGGAGCTGGTGTTCTCAGCCTCCCTTACGCCATGGCTCAGCTCGGCTGGTATTGTAATCTAAAAACTTTAACTCATGATGCATTGAATCAAAAGTTAACCTCACAACAAAATAAACTTTGACTGATGTATATATCATGATATGGTTTTCTAATTATGATGGACATTTGAACCAAATCGAATTTAATCCAAACTAAATCAAATTAAAATCACTTTGCTTAGACTAAAATGAAATATTTTTTTGTGAACAGAGAAAAATACAAAAAAAAAAGTAAGAAGAACCGACTTTTAACCAAAACGAACCGATATACACCAAACCAAACAAAATCCAAAACTTATGGTGTGAATGGTTACAACGGTAGGGATGGACAAATCTGTCAGCGGTTTACTCTACTCTATTTTTAGGATGGAAAACAAAGCACAACGGTCCAACTCTATTTGTACATAAAAATAGTCCGCAGTGGTTTTTTTTTTGTTTTCTTTGAAACTGCACCACTACAGACACAATTGGTGAATAGTAAATAAAAAGTTGTTTGGTACATAGATGGTTTTGTCCGCTCGAACCATTGTAGTTATTCACAATCTTAATGGTCCAACCCTTATATATTCTAACGATATAAACTTAAAAGTCTTAACCGATAAAAACCGACTAAGATAACATTGAGTATTCGGTTTGAAGCTAAATAAATTTACCGGTTTACAGGGGACCGGGTGTGGTGATCCTGGTATTGTCATGGATCATAACACTATACACACTATGGCAAATGGTGGAGATGCACGAGATGGTTCCAGGGAAGCGTTTTGACCGCTACCACGAACTTGGACAACATGCGTTTGGAGAAAAGCTTGGACTCTACATAGTCGTGCCGCAACAGCTGATCGTTGAAGTTGGCGTTTGCATCGTTTATATGGTCACAGGAGGCAAATCTCTCAAGAAATTTCATGAACTCGCGTGCGAAGATTGTAAACCAATCAAACTCACTTACTTCATTATGATTTTTGCATCCGTACACTTCGTCCTTTCTCATCTCCCTAACTTCAACTCCATATCCGGCGTTTCTCTCGCTGCCGCGGTTATGTCTCTCAGGTACTTAAACCGGTTTCCAATTGAAAATTTTAGTTGGTTTAAATTACTCTTCCAAAACCAAAACATTTCACGGAAAATAATTAGGAGATGGACACGGTTAACAGATTAAACCACGGTAACATTGGTTTAGTTCATATCGAGGGATTTGTGTATGGTTTATTTCGGTATTTCACTCAATTTTTGGATTGTACCGGGTTGAGAAATGGTATACGGTTCAACAAATTGGTTTCATTTTAACGAGATTGGTAAAAGGGTTTCAAAACCCGGTTTTATTAGGTTCGGTTTGTTTTTTTAAACAAAATCAGCATACAACTCTACCATAAAATTTGTTTGAGAACCGGTATTTTCAAACCGATATCATGAATTAACAACGAACCGAATCCAATTTGTGTTTTTTTTGTGTGTTTTGGTTACTATTTTCATATTGGTGTTTTTAGCTACTCCACGATTGCATGGTCAGCCTCAGTTGCAAAAGGCGTTCAAGAAAATGTTGAATACGGTTACAAGGCAAAATCAGCAGCAGGAACAGTGTTTAATTTCTTCAGTGCGTTAGGGGAAGTAGCGTTTGCTTATGCAGGCCATAACGTTGTCTTAGAAATCCAAGCCACGATACCTTCGACGACTGATAAGCCTTCGAAAGGACCAATGTGGAAAGGAGTCGTGGTTGCTTACATTGTCGTCGCACTCTGTTATTTCCCTGTCGCACTTGTCGGTTATTGGATGTTTGGTAATACCGTTGACGACAACATTCTTGTAACACTCAAGAAACCGGTTTGGTTAATCGCAACCGCAAACCTTTTTGTTGTGATTCATGTCATTGGTAGCTACCAGGTAATTAAAATTGGTTTGTGCTAAACCCTATGGGAACCAAAATTAAACCAAAATAAACCGCTAATTTTCAGATATATGCGATGCCGGTTTTCGATATGATGGAGACGTTATTGGTTAAGAAAATGAATTTCAGACCGAATTGGTTCCTCCGGTTCGTTGTCCGCAATTTCTACGTTGGTAAGAAGATATATATTATGGTGTGTCTTGTTGATACATAAGCTATATACATTTAATCAAAATGTTATTATTATGATTTTGCAGCCGCTACAATGTTCGTTGGTATGACGTTTCCGTTTTTTGGCGGCCTATTGGCGTTTTTTGGTGGGTTTGCGTTTGCTCCAACAACATACTTCGTAAGCCTGCCATTACTTAAGAAATATTTATCATTTTTTTAAGGTTTTCTATATGTTTGAATTTTTAAGAAATTCAAGACTAATTAGTCTTTTTCTTTTGACGAAAAGCTACCTTGCGTAATATGGCTTAAAATATACAAACCAAGAAGATACAGCTTGTCTTGGTGGACTAACTGGGTAAGTGTACCAAAAAACGAAGCAATTGATAACATTTTCTTGTATTTGTGTTTTGGCTAATTGAAGCTAGTAGTAGTTGAGTTTCTAAGGATATAACTATTGTTTTTTTTTTGTCTTTGTTGTTTTAGATATGCATTGTATTTGGCATTTTCTTGATGGTGCTATCGCCGATCGGTGGGTTGAGGACGATCATTATTCAAGCTAAGGACTACAAGTTTTACTCGTAGAGTACAACAACACAAAGAAAGATTTGGATCATTCCTTTTTAAAACTGATGTAAAAGTATTTGATATGATCTCTCAGATTTAAAGCTTAAGTTTGTTTTTACAAGTCAAATCTACACCTATAAATAAACGTTTGCTACAGTGTTTGATAATACTGAAGATTTTGAATATATATATATGAATATGATAGATATTGATTTTTGTGGTAGAGAATGAATATGATAGATATTGATTTGGATCTTTCTAGAGAGCAAGACGATGGTAATGTTCTTTCTCCACCTCCTCCTTCACCTTAGAAAATTCTTATGAGAAAAAAACCATTATATATGTCTTTACTTCTTTTAGGAATTTGTAAACCCAAATTATCACATCTTTCTATTTTAACTTGTTTGTAATGTTTTAGAAGAATTGAATAGTTACAAGATCAACTATATATGTATAATACTTTTTTGCCTCTGATCAAAATGTTACAATTATCGTCCGTTTTACAAAACATTTCACCAACAAATTGTCTAGTAGCTGTGGCCTTGTAACTAGCTAAGGGAGTCCTAATTACAGTTGGCCTTTGTATATTGCGGAAGCTATTTATAAAATAACCCAAAATTTTCATTTTTCTAATCATCAGTCTCTTGGTTCCTTCTTTGGATTTTGAGGATATATGAGCCCTTTAATGGAAGAACCTCTCTAAAAGTGCCTCACACAAAACTCGTGATTCGTGAAAATACAACACACCATTAACTTAATCCGATCTGATCCACTTGGTTTGGCTTCATTCAATTCTACAATCCTCTATCTCTTATCTTAGATGATCTTTGTATAATCTTTAAGCATGCTTCTCTTGTTGCTGTTCAAGTTTTATTTAGATTACTCTTAAACTAAACTTTGCTCAAACGTTATCTCTCAAAATAAGGAAAAGCAAAAGATAAATTAGTCTTAGTTGGTTTGAAAAACTTGTATAAACTTATAGAGGGAATGAATTCAACTCCTAATTATTTTATATAGCATTCATTATAATATTACAAAACCCGATAATGTGGACAATGCATTTGTACATATGTTGTGTATGCCATCGACACTTGTACTTTTCTGGAATTTATTGTCGTCCAAGGCAATGATCTCTCTATATATATATTTAATTTTTAATTTATATAGTGAATTAGTGCTTGATCCGGGGATTTGTAATTTGTAATTTCTACTAATATTTTATTTAGTTGCTGTATTAATATATATAAAAAACGAAATTGTATGATTATGTCTTGTCTTGAGCCACACACACTTTAAAACAAGTTGGATATCTTCTAAGTTTTTAATTTAACCACATAGATATGTGATAGAGTCACCCAAGAGTTTTTTATGCTTATTAGACTTTTAGTAGTTGTAAATTGTGACAAACTTTCTTATAACTTTCGTCTCAACTTTGGACCGACTCAATACATAATTAAAATGTATATTTTTCTATATTTAGTTGATAAAAAACCTTTGACTATCTTTAATAATTTTGTCTTTTTAATATAATACTTTGGACCTTGAGCTATTATTTTTCTTTTCTCGGATTTTCAAAATGCACAATTTAAATTAAGGGGCTGATTGGTATGCATGCACTTTTAAATTATAAGCTTTAGAATATTGCATTAAAAATAATTCTTGAATTAGTGTTGATCATATATCTCCAAATACATGAACATAATTGATTCAGAGATAATATTTTACGCTCAAATTAGATAACAAAATCTAAAATTCTATTTTATTTAACCTTTTTAGTAAATTTGGAATATCTTTCCTGAAAAAACAGTACCCATAGATTCCAAATCCAAAGGATACTAACGGTAACGGCAACGACAATAACGACGGTCCACGAGACCCAAACCCATCTTGGTATGACGTCATCGGCGCCTCCGCTGACGTAAAACCACGTCATCTTGACGATAAGCAACGGCGCAAGGACGCACCTGCATACGCTGTACGACGCGTAAAACGGCAGCGTCACGAAACGGCGCAAACCCACCGCGAAAGGCGCGTCTGAACCACGCGCAGCCGCGAGCGTCCACGTGTTCTGGCAAGCGCTAGTGGCCTCGGCGACAACGAGCAGCGCGAGGAGAGCGCAGGCGCCGTGGGAGACCATGTAACGGCAGGTGAGGAAAACGAAAAGCACGGCGGCGTGATGAGCGGCGAAGAGCGAGTCACCGCCGGCGGGGGAAGGGAAGACGGCGAGGTGGAGGAGATCGGCGAGGAAATAAGCGGAGCTGAAATCGAGAACGGAGTTTTGGGATTGGGTGTTGGCGGAGGAGAATCCGCGGTTAGGATCGGAGATTAAGGCGTTACCGGCGAGAAATACGGCGGAGACGCCGTGGAGGAGGGAGATTAAACAGCTGGAAGCTAGAGGACGAGACTCCGGAGTCCATTTATTGAAAATGAACAAGTAACCGAGAAGATAGACGAAGATGAAGATGGAGAAGAACAATGGAAGATCTCTGGTGTATGTGATTGGTTCCATTAATTAGTGGTAAAATAAATAAGTTGAAGCTTTTTAAAGTCGGCGATACATATATATATATATAGAGAGAATAGAGAAGATGATGATGAGGGAGATGGTTGAGGTTTGTTAAGATAAAACGAGAGGAGAAGGGTTTGGTGAGGGGAACACCCAAAGCGACGGCGTTTCCAAGGATTTTGTAAAAGGCTTGTGACTGTGCAGTGGTGTCATTTTTCTAATTTCAATTTTTTTTTTTTTTTAAGTTCCACACTAATTTTTAAAATTAGGGTGGTTTAGTTGCCATCCTAATTTATTATTTCTAATTTAAATTTTTTGAAGAAACAATATATGAGTTAATTTTATTGAACAATATGCTTAAGATCGGAATATATGAGTATAGATTCGAGTTTTTCAGATTTTTAAAATCGCCTCCAAATGGAATTGAATTTATTTTGGTTTGGTTTTATTCAATACTAAAATAGATTTTAGATTAATTAAACATATTTTGTTTAATAAATTCTGTTAAATGCTCAAATTATAGTGAATTTCTTTAATTCTGTTTGCTAAAAAAATTTATACAGTTCAGATAATTAGATGTATGAATGTTGCATACCTGCTTAGATTTTTTTTTTTGCCACCATGAAGAACAATACAATTTGGAAAAAAAAAATGCAATTCAAAATGCTTATAAGAAAACAATAAAAATGTGATGATTACTAATCATATTTGCATTATTCAACTTTTTTATTCTGACATCACAATTCACATTGTTCTATCAGTTGACTCAGTTCTGTTGTTGCACTAAATCTTTATTTTGTTGTAATTAAAGATAGAAACCTCACTAAGAACAAGTGTAAAAGGTGGCTGTCCAAATCGGGTAGAGTTGGAAAAAAGGCAGAATCAGTACTACTACAGAGAATCATTAAGAACAAATGTAAAGATAAGAAGATTCTTACACAAACAAACAATGGTCTTTGACTTTGTTCTTTTTGTTGTTGTTTTTTTTTTTTTTTTTTTAATGAAGTCTCGTGGCAAAAAGCTACTAAGCGTTTGCTTACTCTTTTACATATTAAACACCACACTGGCTTAAGAGAAAGATCCAGTCCATTACTCATTTAAACAATGAGCAAAAAGATTGGACCTTCTCTTAAGAAGGGCTAAATGGCTAATGCCTTTCTTCTTGTGTACCTGCCCCGCCCTGGCTATTGTTTTATATATAGTACATGTATATGTTATATACACTTCTTCGCTTTTTTTCAATCGATTTCACCTTCTTCCACGTCGTTGGCTATTTTTGGAACAGCGGGAGCCTGAGCCTCGGGTTCTTCTTCATCATCGTCTCGTTTCATGTACAGTCCAAGTTGCTCAAGGGCGTTATTTCCTTTCAGGTTGAAACCTCCAAGTGCGTCTAAAGGTCTCTCGGGGCTGGTTTCATCGGGATTTGGAACCGCAGGAGCCTCGGTTTCTTCTTCATCATCGTCTTGTTTCATGTACAGTCCGAGTTGCTCAAGAGGGTTACTTCCTCCTAGGTTGAAACTTCCAAGAGCGTCCAACGGTCTCTCCGGGCTGGTTTCATCAGGTTTTGGTATCGCACGAGCCTCGGGTTCTTCTTCATCATCATCTTGCTTCATGTACAGTCCGAGTTGCTCAAGTGGGTTACTCCCTCTGAGGCTGAAACTTCCAAGTGCATCTAAAGGTCTTCCTCTGAGGTTGAAACTTCCAAGTGCATCTAAAGGTCTCTCCGGACTGGTTTCATCAGCTGAGCTTGGTAATTGCTCAGGTGCACTTGAACTCAACATCTCTAGGTCCTCCAGAAACCGCGAGTTCTCATTGATTTCTACAGTTTTCTCCATCTGCAGGGAAGTCAACAACATATATGAAAATTATAAGAGATCTCCAACATGTGGATCCAAGAAACAAACAACACATAACTTACATTGGTGGAACATATTCATCTGCGAACGTTCTTCATATTCTAAACATGATCATATTTATCGAGTGTTTTTGTAGGGTTTGTGATCCTGTAAGGTAAGTCATGTGTTTGCTAATTACCTTTAATAAAGCTTGGCGAGCGGCTTCTCTTTCGAGTTCTCTCTTCCGCTTAGCCTCAGCAGCAGCTTCTGCAGCGGCCTCTGCTTCAGCTTGGCGACGAGCATCTTCAGCAGCCTTTGCTTCAGCTTGTAGCCGCGCTTTCTCTGACAACAGAAGTAGATGGTTTTTAATTAAAAGAACAAAGTTAAAAAAGATGTTCTTGTATAGGAAGGATCCAGAGAAACAACAACGAATTAACAAATTCGGTTGTTAATATATAAACAACCTTTCTTCTTTTGGAGTTCAAGTTCTTCTCTTTCTTTGCGCAGCCTTTCTGGATCACCTTTAATACCATTCTGCTCCATGAGAAATCAAATTGAAACCAAATTAATTCCCAAATGATCAAGAGGATACTGTAGAACATGTGATACACGCATTTAACTCAGGATCAAATAATGCAAATGCGATCGTCTATCGTGTGTGAAAACAAGTCCGCGAAATAGTATCTAGGTCTGTTCCACCACTATGCTGTTCGATTTTTAGAGGTTTAGAAAAAGCAAACCTCAGGTAAGTAAAACAACTCTAATACTTTTACTTTATAAACAAACTGAAATAAAAATTCTTATAAACCTACAATTACACCAAGAGTTCTGGCCAGAAGCATAATCTACTCACCACTTAAGAATAATAAAGATACGCTAAATTGAGGATAATTACAGACCTGTGGAAGTGGTTTCTCGCGTGCTTTTAGAATGATATCTGCAAACCGATTCTTCAACAGTGCAGCTCTATAGCGCTTCTCAGATGAAACTGGAGTCTCTAAAATATTTCCTGAAGCATTAAGAGTTGACAAAATGTAAGATTACTCACTTCATGGCTCAAATAGAGAAAAACGGAAACTCCTTTTCTCCACATCTCACCCTCATGTTGGCCATCTGATTCATCAGAACCAGGCTTTTGCTGAGAACAAATATCCATCTGCTCCAGCGCACCAGTAGACTCTGTAATGAAAACACCAGCGATACAAACTGTAAATACGTATGCACAGAAAATTCTTAGACAGTAATTTTGCATTCCAGCAACGATAACTACCTCTACTTAGATTTTCCTATTGTGACCAACTAACTACAGATATGGCAACAGAGTAGATATTTGGATAAAACTATCCAGGAAACTGAGAGTAGTACAGAGAAATATGGGTGGAGAAGTAAGCACAAATCCCCAAGCTTATGAATAATCGTACAACCATAATAATGAATTTAAAGGAGATAAGTACTCACGACTTCCTTCAAAATCAATTCTTGTAATTTCATCTCTTTGCGCTTCAGAATTTGCAGTTTCAGGAATCTGAGAAGTTACCAACTGCATGGTTTAGATTCATACCAAATTGCATACCTCGAAAAGCTGACATTATAGATTTATACCTTGGAAGAATCCTCTTGAACCATGGGTTTAGCGTCATTAGATAGATCTTCCGAGCTAGCAGACTCCGAATCTGAAAAGCAACACTCTATTCAGTAACACACAGAATCTGTTACAATGACATTACATAAATCTACTAAAACCCTCTATATCATGAAACCATTAGATTCCAGATTCTGCAAGATTTGTTAGCTACGCTGTAGATTGTTTGACCAAAAAAAAAAGCTAAGCTGTAGGCTTTTATCCCACTGTTTTTCATGATACCCGGAACAGGTTCCCCTCAAAGAACTCGCCAGAATCATATTTGAAAAACTTCCAACAATGATTACATAAATAAATGAAATTTCGAAGAACTCCACCACCACCATATAATTAGGTAAGATTTAACTAAATTATCAAATTCAACAGTGAAACATATAAGCTTCTGATATATACATGAGTCAGTGAAAATATTAACATCCATATAAGACCTACGACAAGAAAATGTTAAGGAGTTGACAAATATATATGGGTTGCAACTAACCACTGGAGCTCCTTGAGATAGGAGGTTCATTTCCACCGACATACTCATCAGCCAATTCGTTTCCTAGAAAAGGAACAACGAAGCAGAGCAAATGTAAGACAATTGGTGAACACAGAGACCACTGACCAGTATAATCCTGGAACACAATTTGCAAACAGAATTTGAGTTTCACCTCGTTGAAGCGACGAACTGCTCGGTCCTGATCCATTAATAAGCTGCAACAAAAGAAATCCGCTGTGTCTCCGTAAAAATTTCTACTAAAATATATTCCGGCAGGTCAGATGATTACCTCTATTTCACACGGTTCAACATTCGCCTGCTTTGCTTCTTTATTTTGTATATATTCATCAAGAAGGTTTCGAAGAGTCACCAGTACTTCATCACTGAGAACATCAATGTCTATCTCAATTTCATCTTCTGCAATTTCTCCTCCATTCGAACTGTGCTTCTTTAAAAAGTCAATTATATGTGCAGGAAGTTCGTCGAGTAGTGATTCGAGTTGTGTGCCCAATCTATGTCTCTCCTCTGCTGTCATAAGTGGCTTCACGGATTCGGGAACACTTTCTCTAACAGGTGAAGCCATCTTTCTCTTCTTCGCCGGAGGGACAGCTATAGCAGCTTTCCCTTCTTCCTTGGGCTCCAGTGATATTGCAGGCAACGTTTGCATGCTACACCCTGGTAGTTTTTTTTCTATAGTTTTCCACCGTGCTTCAAATAATTTACTAAGTATATCTCCCATGATGTGAACATCATGTCCTGGAGGATTATATGTCATTGCATTGGTAAATGTAAGCCTTACATCAGCAGCAAACTCATGTGGGCTTGAATATACACCAGAAGCTAAGTTCTTCTTCACTGTCCCTAAGTCCATGGGATGTTTGATGATGGTGAGATAGTCAGGTATGTTCAGTTTTACCACATCAACTGGCGCCTGAAAAATCCAAGAATGTGGATGGGACCACAATTTTTTCAGCAGCGTGTCACATTGCTTCATCAGTGTGATGTTAGGAATGCTAGTCATAGACTCTTTCGAAGACTCAAACTTCCCTGAGGTTCCACGATTCCATCCACGAGAAGTCCCAGTCTGATGCCGAACTTTCTTTCCTGATCCCATTGCAAAATCAGATGGCTTCTTTATATTGCTGACTCGGGATGATAGCTTTTGACCAGTGCTAAAACCCACCCTATCACTAGTAGATGACATAGCAGCTGGATTAATTCTCTGCAACTCAGCATTTCTAAGAACTATTTTTGTCTGCTCCAGCTCCAGTTTGAGCCGATATATCAAATCCCTCCTCTCAGACTGGGTCATATTATATAGGGAAATGACTTGCCTCTGGACACCATAAGGATCTTCATCATTAGAATTCAACATAATACACTTTCGTGCAGGAGTACTTGAATTCTCAGATGCAGTGACCTCAGTATCAATCTGTGCAGAGCTCCCAGAGCCCTCTGATTCATTAGGCGCTTCAAAAGTATTCCGATAATACCCTCCCGGGAACGCAGCACTTTCAACCATCGTTAAGCAAAGATATTCCACAGATATAATCTCACCAGCTTCTACAACTCATTTACAAAAGACCTGCATCATATATATATCTAGTCACTTAATCCATAGAAAACTAATATTTCCCCATTCTAAAAATTTGCAACATTTTCGCAAAACTTCCACAGGGGCAAGAAACTTGATAGGACACAACAAGCCAGATCTAATCAAAGTGAAATAAGAACCTTGGATTCTCAAAAAACTGGAATATAACCGTAAAAATTAAACATTTGCCAGCCCAATTCCAATTTCTTTAGCTTTTGGAGTCCAAAACTCAAACCCTAGCCTGATGCCAAATTCAATTGAAAACCCTGTACTCCTAAAACTAATCATTCGAATTGAGAAAACCCCACAATGAGAAAAGATCGAATTACCATTTGAAGCACCAACAGCTGAATCCTCACAGGTTGTTTCACAAACCAAATCTCAAACCTCCTCCACAGAAATTAACTTCAAATCAGATAACACGGAGCTTGAAAATCTCGACCTCAGAGGAACTCACCAGAGAAGAAGCGATCTACAGAAGAATTATCGCAGATAACATTTCACCGAAACCCTAGAATAAAAATCGCCCCCAATTTCGGAAGATCCGTGAACCATTCACAACACAACACGGCACAAAGTAGAAGATCAAACAACCAAAACCCTTGAATCTGGAAATTGACTACGAATCCAAATCCTGAAACTCTCGTGATCAAATCGAAGATAACCCTTAAAGATCAGAGCTTTCGCGTGAGAGAAAAAAAAAAAAGAAGAAGCTGGAGACAAAAACGAAGTCGAAGACTCAGAGAAAGGGAGAGAGAGGAAAAAATTCTAACACTAATTTTATTTATTTATTTTAAAAGAAAATACACCGACAAACAAAAGCCTACCTCCAATTTAATGATCGGACGGTCCATATTAATTGAAGAAGTAGCCGCCAGATCCATATCTAACGGTTAATTTGATCTTTGTCTGCGCGGATTTAACGACTTTAATTAACGTGCGTTTCCTACACGTGTCCTACGTGGCAATAATTAAACGGTGGAAACTTACGAGTGACGTTTATTTCGACAGTGATCGTTGACTATGTAATAGTAGTATTCATTATTTATCATGGAGCGAAACTACAGGCCCAAATAAATAAGAACGGCCCAAAGTTGAGTTATATTTATACGCAGGCGGATCTTGGTCGTTCTTCCTTCTCCGCTTCTTCACGAAGGTTATCACGGCGGGGCTGTTTTTTACCGGTGAAAAAAAGAAGTCAAGTTAAGCTATTGCCAAGACATTGGCACGTACTTTTGCCGAAAGGGGATGAAGTATGAGAAGAGGTATGCGAACTACAACTCTAATGATGCAAGAGTCAACTTCCTGAGGAGCTCAGAAGATCCCTTACACGGATATTACAACCAGAAGCTTAGTGACTATCTCTCTCAGATTCAAACAAATGGAGCTATTGATGATGATGATGATGATGATGAGGACGATGATGTAGTAACAACAGACACTAGTAGTCCCCAAGCCATTGAGCCACCTCCATGTCTCATCAGCAATGATATCGAGTAGGTTTGGTCTTTGAGAAGATCTGAAGCGGTCTCGCGTAAATGACCCAAGATACAGCTTTATGTGGAGGTTCGATCCCTTTTACCTGTTTTACCAGCAAAGGCTTACGGAATACAGTTCTCAGTCTCAGAATCAACAAGATGGAGCTAGTCTGCATGGTGATGTTGCTGGCCAGTAGATGCCTAATGATCAACAAGAGGGAGCTAATCATCATGTTGATGGTTCTACTTTTGCTGCTCTACGCCATCTTGCTCACCCTCAACCCATTCATCTACCATATGATCTAGAGTTTAGATGTCCCAAGAGGATGAATGGCAAGGATTTTAAAACTATGAAGCTCACATCGTAGTTTGACGCTTGGTATGGTAACGATTTTTGGCTTGGGTTCAAGAACATAGTTGGGTTTGAGTTCGAATCCAACTCATAGCAATTTCCCACGTTTCACTCGGTTTATTATCTCAAGTATTAACCTCCCCTCAAAGATTTGAAAGAAAAGGTGAGCACGCTTATTTGCCGTCTTCTTGAGTGTGATTCTTTTCAAGAGATGGAATGTCTCCTTTAGAACTAGAGCAAAAGTCACAAAAGATTGAAGAGCATGCAGGACTTGTTCCAAAAGACCAGTTGCTTGCTTAACACCCGGTAGTGTTTTCTTGGAGCAGGAGAGATCCTAACTTTATCCTTGTGTGCGTGTGGGAGACAGGGAGATATGAAAAATTGCTAGGCTTGTCGATGCATGGAAATGCTCGCCGAAGCGTTTATGTTGTCGGTGCAGAAATATGCGCTCCAAAACTATAAATGTCTTTTAATTCTAGTTTAAATTGATGCTTGCTTGGTTTGTTCGTTTTGTTTCTAAAAGACTTCGTTACTTAACTTAATTATGTGTGATAGTGATGGTCATTTATAGTTTGTCCTCTATGTAAGCTACTTTACTAAATTATCTTCACTTTGATTGGTTTCTTTTTTATATTCTATGGCTCTATGCAACAACTAGTGTACTGTCAAGTTTTAATAAATAAACAATTTAACAGGACTCGGCAAAGTTCAAAGTAGATGTCAACTAACTTACCAAATCATATAAATCTAGTTTAGTTCATGTAGTGAATTAGTGGTAAGTGGCGTCTTTGATCGTTATAACAGCAATTACATGCCACATTTCTAGAAGAACAAGCTGAATCATTAAATCAATTTCCCCCAAAAAATGCTATGTTAGCGTATCTCTATGGTGATAGGAACGTCGAGATTTTGGTCCAACCTTTCAGTGCTGTACCAATGAAAGGCCTCCATCTAAATATACCACTAACGAAAAGGACAGTACACGTGTAGCCTCTTAACGCCAATGGAACCCTACTTCAACCACACAAAACAGTCACTACAAGTTTTATTCAATGGTGATCAATATCTTAAATTATATAAATAAATATTTTATCCTATACCAAAAATCTTTGATTCGTCGTCTCTACTCTAATCTATGGAGATGCTATCATTCGTTTAATTAGTTTTGTTGGTTTATCTTTATATTTTAAATCTTCCGTACGCTGTAGTCTATAATTTTATCTCATAGAATTAAGCTCAAATACTAATAAAATTATGATGAAATGTGTAAATTAAGCCATAAAATGCCAAGTAGGTTGGAAATAAGAAGACAACACAACATGCTATGATAGTCTGTAACAAAAACATTGATTTTATCGTTTACGACAAACAAATTTAATCTTTTATGCCCGCACAGCTGTGGTCCAGTGGTAAGGGAGAATTGGGGAAATGTTGGAAGGAACTAACCCAGCTTCGATCCACCCTGTAAACAAAAATCATGTTTGTGTGTGAAGTCTGTCAATTGGGTCAAAACCTAGTTGATTTACCTGGTAGTCAGAAATGCAGGCGGCCTGACTACCCCCTGGCATTAGTCGGAAAGCATTCCAAACTCGGGATAGACAGTGTGGTGGCCTTTCGGGGAGAAGTACACTCTGAAACACTTCGGTGCGTTTCTACCGGGGCTGACCGGATCAGCCGATAGGGTTTATCAAAAAAAAAAAAAATTAATCTTTTATAACATGATATTTAACAACAAATATTTCATAGATGATTCTATAATGAATAATCTATCAACATTTTTTGGAACGAGTAATATTTTATCATAGAAATAGCAAAGACCATTTCAAAAAATTATGTCAATGTTTATGTCTATTTTAATTTTTTTTTTTTTGAAAGCAAAGTTAAGTTCAAATCTATATCCTACGTAAAAAACACTTCAGATTTGCTAGTTTTTTAATTTTATTTATGTGGTATTTAAAGCCAAAAGTTCTATTATGAAAAAAAAACATAGTTCAAAGTAAAAGACCGTGGCGGCATGAAGAGGAGGAGGACTAAAACTTGTTGAATTTATTGGTAAGGAAGGAAGAAAAATAAATAAATTGAGTGGTCTCAGATCACAGAACAACACAGACACGTGAAAGGCTCTCATTCGTTTCCTATGCTACCAAAAATTACATCGCACTCAAGAAAGGACTACTACTATTCTCACTACACGCGAGAGAGAAGAGAGCACAAAAGACTTGACATCGAACGTACGGCCAGATTTTAAGCTTACTAAGACACGTGAACGACCGAACCGAACTGAACCAATCAAACGGATCCTAGATAGTGATGACATCAGCTTGTCGGAAAAGGAGATCGAAGGTTTTAAAAAAAGAAATGTAGAGTACCTGATTGGTTTGCTGTTGTGTTCTCTTATCAGTTGCCACGTACATGATTAATCTGTGTGAGTGTTACAACTTTATTTTATTCTCTTCCCCTTCCTCATTAGAAAACTTTTGGCTTTTTCTTTCTTTATTTGTCAACCTTTTTGTCAACCAATGAGACTTCTCCAGATGCATAAATAAGCAGATCCCACGAAACACATTGCTTTATTCATCGGTTTATTGTATAACTTATGATTCCGTTCAACCAGGTCTTAAACATTGCGTAAATCTTGCTCATATATTTTGTATATATATAATCTGAACAATTCGACCATCTAATTTTAATCGTACGATCCAAATTCTTGTATAGTAATTGTATATAAATGAAGCTCAGGCTATAAACGAGATGATGTACTTAGTGTATATATAAAAATTGTAACGTGTTCAAATAGACTAGCACTTTTGTTAAGTACATCAATGATGGATATGTGTGAACGTATTATATATAAGTAGCTAGCTACAAGGTCATTATGATGCTAAATAGTAAACGTCATTAATAAACAGATGTTTAAGAGCATGATTAATGGTGGTATCTAAGAGTTTTTCTTAACAAAATCTTAGTGTAAGAGATCACCAAGCAAAACCGTGAATATATACTTATTGAAAGGTTTGTTCAAAAAAAAAAAACTTATCGAAAGAAAAAAATGGAGATATATGTGGCAAGTGTTCGATGTTCCAATAACGAAGAGACAAGTATACACATTATAAGGGCAAGAGATAGATAGACTATAGAGAGCATATGCTGTGCTTAAGTTGCTTACATCTAAAATGATATATGTTACATATGTATATATATACAAGTGTACATAAGGTGTGTTTGTACGTATGTATGTAATGTGGGGAATACAAAAGGCTTATTGTGAAGAAATTTAATACTTAGTATAAGACACTCAATAGGGTCCCCATGTAGTTCATGTGTTTTTGTCTCTCAATCAATTTGTTTTAGTGTTTATATATCAGATCTAAAATTATGACATATTCTATAGCTTAGGATACAATTAATTTTCTTACAATATGTCTTACGTTATATGATTTAAATGTATTTTTTTGATATATTCAACTGTTAGTCGAAATCTATGAAATTATAGGCGATCTCATAAAACACAGATTTCTGTTGTATGTTTAAACAGATTTATCGATCTAAACAATATAAAGAAGCCAAGATTGGTACGAAACCATACAATGGCATCTTTTTATTTAGTCTTTGCCAATAAATATATGACATTATTACGATATGTTCTATATATTTAAGCTTTTGGAGCTTCTCCACACTTTCTTCCAACAATAGCTAGCATCATTTGTTTCCTTCTTACTCATCTTATATTAAGCCTAATCAAAGTTACCGAAGTGATTATATTAGTCATCACACTCTCTAAAATCGCATAGCTTAAATAATCTTACCCTTTGTTTCAGGCAGCAATCACCATCAAAGCCAGAGAGTCAGAGCAGCTGTTGTGTCTAGCCTCCATGCAAAGCCACCAAACTCCATTTTCCACACTTCACACGGCACCGTTTTGGTATACTTTGTTCCCTTCCACGTGTATTGCATCCTCACCCTACACGTGAAAGCTCGGTAGTTACAATACATCGCTGCCGACGCCTCCTCCGCCTCCAACAACACCGCAACATCCAACGACGACGATGAATCCTCACCGGAAACATTCCTCCGGTAAGCCTCGTTGACCCACACGACACGGTTCGAACCATCCGAAACGAACGCTGGACACGTGTCCTTACCAAGATTATCAACGATCTCCACGTCCGTAAACCCCACCGCATGGGAACTCAAACTACCGTCGGAAACCCCCGTGACGGACTCCACCGTCACCCAAGTCTCCACCTCCGCCATGACACCGCCGTTAAACGTACCCCACGTGTTGGTTTCTTGTGTCTCATCTCCGACTATCGTTTTCACGGTCGGATCGAGACTATCCTGATCCAACGGCGAGTATTCACCGGAAAGATCTGATTTTTCCGGCAAGAGTTGCAACGTAACGACCCCGGTCTGTTCCCGATCATCAGACAAGTCAGATCTGCTCTTCCCTCGACACGTGGTTTTATTATTCTTGGAAACCCTAACGTACTTGCGTTTGGTTCGTTTGCTCATACCGTATGAGCCACTACTGTTGTTGTTGTTGATATCTCCCACGCCACATGGCTGACCACTCGTTGGCTTAGGAGCTATAGGACGGTACCGGAGCATCAGAGCGTCGACGGAAACTTTATCCTGCGCCTTACCGGCGTATCTTAGCGTTCCCAACCACTCATCTTGATCCATTATTTATCTTTCTCTCTCTTCTCACACTCTTTTCTTTATTTCCTCTTCTCTCTCTCTCTCTCTATAGTCTTTCTGAGTGTCTCTCTCCGGTGAGCCGAAAAGATTATCATTCGAGGCAAAATGAGAAGGAATTGTAATTCGCCACGTGGCTTTAGGGTTAGCGTAAGATACAGTTATATCATTGGATGGTCTCTGTGCATCTCCTATGTCATCATCTTTTGCACCATAATTTATGTTATTTTTTCTTTCTTTTTTTTCTTTTGCAAATTAAGATAAGAGTTAAGAAATTTTTTTTTTTTGTTCTGTATCATTTCTATTCAAAAACAACGCCTAAGTTTCACCTAATCAAAGTTCCATATACGTACTGTTTGTTACCTCTCTTGTAATCAATCAATCTATTATTGATTTTATACTTAGAAGATGATATATATACATACTGTATGCTAATCAATCGTACATATCGTACGATTTAACGCCACATATACACATCAATATATATATTTGTACATTAACTCTCTATATATGGCTATAAGAGTATAAGTGTAGGTGTGTATATATGCCATATATACATAAGTTACGGTTTGATCTGGATTTATAATACAATGGCCAAGTACTAGCTATTATTTTAGATAACCATTAAGAGTGTATAAAAATCTGGTCACTTAATTAACTTCTATAGTTCTATATATTCTTTGTTGTTGTTGATATAGCAAAACGTATGGACCAACACATAGTAGTATTAAATTATGACGGGCCACTACAGACGCAGAGAGACACACGTTGTTGAATAGAAGCAAGCAATCGATGTGAATAATATATATATGATCTCTTCTCTTTACCCACATAGATGCATACACATAGGTCCATATATGATAAAATTAAAATTGTATGGTGATCCAAGGCATCCAATAATTTTTGGTTATAAATATTCTTTCTTTTTATATGAGATCGATTTGTATACATGCGTGGGGTCCTATGTAAAACACAATATGCTGTTCTACCTTATTTGAAGGCTCTGATTGGTCCTCGTTATCTCCGACCAATCAAATTGCAGTATGTGTCTTCCATTCCTCACTTGAGAAAAGCTGTTAATGTCAATGACTCACCGCTCATTTGGAAATATATACATATTTATATGCTTTCTATGTACTACTTACATGTATATGTATATGCCTGTCTCGTTGAGGTAAATATAAAAGAAAAAGACACTCATGGCAACGACATCATATTGACATGGCATGGCATGCCTATGTGAGTAAACGAATATGAAAAGTTTGACTAAGGTCATCATTATTGGGGGATCTTACACCCCTTTTCCTTAAGAAAATCTTATGCAAGATCTTTTTTTAAGGAAAAGGAGGTGTAAGATCCCCCATATAATATTGCTCTAAGTAATACAATTCTAAATTACACCTTTTTGCGGTGAAATAATGTACGAAAAAACTTGAAATTGACATTTTTTAGTAACATTTTTGATATAGATTTTGGGATTAGTAATTATTAAATCTTTTTAATAACATTCTATACGAAGTTACCAATAAAAACCGAATATTAGTGATAACGATATTTGAAAACATGTAACAAGTTTGTAAAACATATTTAGCTTTTTTTTTTTTTTGGAATGAATTAGAAAGAAAAACAAAAGTTGATTGATGGAGACATGGAGTTATGGGGTTCTATCTATTTGGGAATGAATTGGGCACATAAAATTTAACGTTGGCCCATTAAGGCCCAAATTAGTAAAAACTGTCGTGTGTTTAGCAGCCGCTGTGTCATCGTGGAACTCCCATTTTCTCTCGTCTCTCTTTTACTTCTTCGTTCCAAAACTGTTCTCTCCATCGATCGTCTCCGTCGCCGATCTCGTTGCTTCATTTTCCGGTGAGATTCTATCTATCTTCGTATATCTCGTATTCGAAATCCTTCGATGTTATCTTCGGCATTTGATTGATTAGAGCTATCTATGTTTGTCGGATCTGTATACGGAATCAGATATCTAGGGCTTGTTCGCTTTTGTTTTATTCGTATATGTGTCGTGGAATCGCATTATCACTGATTCAGTATTCTGTGTGGATTTAATTTATTTGTTCTTCAGCGAGTTGATTGGTACAAAGCGTTGATCAAATGGTTGGAGGAGGAGTTATCCAGCAAATTCTTAGGAGAAAGCTTCACTCACAATCAGTTGTGAGTTTTTTATTTTGTTTCCCACTCTTAATATATTCTGCAATTATAATTTTGATTTACGTTTTCAGCTTTTGGATCTGTTTCAAGAGATTTCTTTGTTATTTTGTTTGGGTTCTTTGGTTAAGGATTTGTGTTTTGGGAGACTGATGCTTATTAGCTAATTAGTGATAGAGTATTAGCTCTTGAATTCTATGTGAAATATGTCATTTTCTGGAACATAAGACAGGAGACAGTGATTGTCTTCCTGTTAAAAAAAAATTGTAACTTTTAACCATGACAGGGTCTTTTAATTTATGTTTAGCTACTGATCCAATGTGAAACTTTAGTAGAATGCAGAAATCTTTTGACAGTTCATTAAAAGTTTTGTCTGAGGATTGGTTTTATGTTATTCTGCAGGCAACTCCAGTCTTGTCTTGGTTTTCTTTGAAGAAAGCTCATGAGGATGCTGGCTCTTCTGGTGTAAGAGCACTTGCCCTCTTGGGTGCTGGTGTTACAGGTCTGTTGAGTTTTTCTACAGTTGCATCTGCTGATGAAGCTGAGCATGGATTGGAGAGTCCAAATTACCCTTGGCCTCATGATGGCATTCTCAGCTCATATGACCATGCTTCGTGAGTGTTTATCTACATATTGTCACCACTCTCTTTTCGTCTTGTCTGTTTTTCATAGGTTTTTGTTTTTGTAACTTTTAAAAGTGAAAGAGTGTAACTCCTGTTAAGTTATAAAGATAGGCTGTGCAATATCAGCTAAAAGTTTGATATTGTATTAACTTATGAAGATTTGTTGTTGTGTGAGCAGGATCCGTCGTGGGCATCAAGTTTATCAGCAAGTCTGTGCGTCTTGCCATTCAATGTCTCTGGTCTCATACCGAGATTTGGTGGGTGTCGCCTACACAGAGGAAGAAGCAAAGGCTATGGCAGCTGAAATCGAGGTAGTAGATGGACCTAATGATGAGGGTGAGATGTTCACCCGTCCTGGTAAACTCAGTGACCGATTCCCTCAGCCATATGCGAATGAATCAGCTGCAAGGTTTGCTAATGGTGGAGCCTATCCTCCTGATCTAAGTCTTATAACTAAGGTCTGCTGCTGCTGCTACTTCACTTAAACTGAATATCTGTAGAACCTCGTGTTCTGTCTTCTAAAATAATTTTATTGTTCTGCCTGCCAGGCACGTCACAATGGTCCAAATTATGTCTTTGCTCTTTTGACTGGTTACCGTGATCCTCCTGCTGGCATTTCGGTAAGTTTCTCTCTCATTTTTCACATGAAACTTCTTCAAATTCAAACTGCTGGTTATTAAAATATCAAAGGATAATTGTACAGATAAGAGAGGGGTTACACTACAATCCTTACTTCCCTGGTGGAGCAATTGCTATGCCGAAAATGCTCAATGATGAAGCTGTTGAGTATGAGGATGGTGTCCCCGCCACAGAGGCACAGGTTAGTTTAAATACATGAATCTCTAGGCCTTATGGATCTGTCCTTTCTCAGTGTCATAATATTACTCTTTGCTCTTTCATTTATGGTGCAGATGGGTAAAGATATTGTATCATTCTTGGCCTGGGCAGCTGAACCAGAAATGGAAGAGAGGAAATTGGTAGGTTTATCTTTCTCTGTTCTCTGTTGAACATTGCATTTTCTTCCTTAGACTTTGCAGTTAATGAGACAAAGTTTCACTCTAAGTTACTAAATTTAGTTAATCACCGAAGTAGGCGAGTTAAGAGAACTAATTGTTGTACCAAGTGTACATGACGCATAATATTGGTTGCACTCTTTTCAGATGGGTTTCAAATGGATATTCCTACTCTCTCTCGCTTTGCTCCAAGCTGCGTACTACAGGCGACTGAAATGGTCGGTTCTCAAGTCCCGCAAGCTGGTTCTCGACGTGGTTAACTAAAAGAGCCGCTGAAAAACTTTTGCATTTGGCCACACACAGTCGTATTTTTCAACAATGGATGTTAAAATAGAGAAGAGCCTTTCTCTGGGTAATAACGTGTCTCCATTTTTATGTGTCATAAAAATCTTTGATGAGACCAGTTCTCACCTGATGGTGATAAGACCTCATCCTTTCTTCATTTCCTTCGATTATTACTAGAGAGTTCTATGAGGATAATCACGAAAATTAGTCTTTTTTCGCCTCATAATAATCACACATGATTTTGAGATTATATCATTTGTTATGTTTTTTTACATTTTCTTGTCTCAATAAAGAATAATTTTGTACTCTGATTTTTTTGTCTAATTTGGGCATTTTCTTTGCATTCTTTGAAGCCAAAAGTAGTAAACCAAAAATAAATGCCAAATGCAACAGTCTACTCTTCTTTATTTGTATGCTATATAATTTATATAGATAAAGTCGCATAAACGTAGTAATAATAAACAAAATTACAACACATAATACTGAAAAACTTATACAAATGATTTTCTCCAATTGCCCTTGTAAATATTGCTTATTCCATCTCTCGAATAAATATTACCTAATGAACTCCAATTTTATAACCTATGATCCAATGTAAACTATAATAAGAGTATTACTCTTACCATTACGATCTTCCTTTTTGCCTATCCGATCAAGCTCTCACTGGCTTTTGCAATACAGCTGAGAGATACACCTGTGCATCAGCTTTCTCTCCAATAACCCATTTTAGCTTCTTATACCCAAACCTCTCGATCAAACGTGTAAGATCTTTCTTCTTCTCGTCGTTAGCGCAGTAGAAGTTATCCAACCAGAACAATCCACCAGGTTTCAAAACCCGATCAAGATCGAACATCAAGAACTCAAACTTCTCGGGTTTACCCTCAACATCTAATCCGCTAGAAGCATGGATGAGATCGAACACATTGTCAAGGAAAGGGAATCTATGGTCTAAACTTAAGAACAGCGGAAAAAGCCCTCTCGCAGCTATGAATTCACTAAACGGAGCACCATTGTTCAACGAGTTAGTGATTATAGTCACGTTCTTCTCAGCCATTCTCGCTGCGAAAGTCCCTGATCCACCACTAATATCAAACCCGATCCTGATTTTCCCACTTCCTAAACCCAACACATCATCAATCAAGAAATCGTTCTTCCCCTTAACCTTCACAAACCTATCTTTCTCATTACCCAAATCAAAGCAACCAACGCATTCCCGGCTAAGTTTCTTACCTTTCAAGCAATCAAAACTCTTGCAACCAAGTCCACTCCAGTTAACACTCTTGTTACTAACAGATCTCCACAACGAATCAGGAGACCGACTCAGATCTTGCTTCTGCACCGTTTTCGCCAAGCACCGCCTCCTAGGCAACGGCTCACATGCGCGGAGAATCAACTTTTGGCCAAGGCTCCAATCATCAGGACATCTATCAAACACTTTGTATGACATATACTGAGAAAGCAAATCCGCAGATTTCTCGCAAGAATGTCCAACAGAGGACACCATCTCAGTGATCCCGGTGCGCGAATCTTTCCCCAAAGGAAGCTGATGACGCTGGAGGAACAATTTGAGCTCAGGAACAATGTTTGGTCGAGAGAGATCAATAGATTCGTAACCAAGCATCTGTTTCTCCATCTGAGCAAGCTTGCGCTGAGACGAATCGATCTCTCGGAGGATCAAAGAGAGATGCTGAGAAACGAGTGAGATATTGTTGGATTGGTGGACGAGTGGCGAATTAGCTTGGGAATGAGAGGAGAAAGCGTATAAGGCGAAGAGATTCGTGGTAACGACGGAGAAGAGCATGAGGAGGTTTACGGCGGAGGAACAAACCGACGTTCGTCGGAATCTAGCTGTTCCATCGCCGATCTTCAAAGACACAGATCCCATCTTAGCCTCTCTTCGTCGGTGAGAGGATGAGAGAGAGAGAGTTATATAGAGAAGAGCTCAACTTAAAGTCTCATTATAGCTTGAATCTTCATTGTTGAATCTGCAGAGAGAAAATTTCAAAAAAAATCACATTGCTGCTTCGGTTACTCCGATTTGAATCATTCAGATCTACCGGAAAATTCAACACAAGAAATTGCGAAGTACATGAACAAATCAAAGTTGGTGAATGAACGAACTGTGAGACATTGAAGAAGCTTAAAGAGAAGATTGAGAGAGAGAGAGCATTACCGTGATTTCAGCAGAAGAGACTTGGTGAAGAATACTGAAGAGTGAATGAAATCGCCGACATGACTCAAAAGAGAGTCAACACGTGAGTGACAACACGTAGCTGAATAATGATTCTCATTTCATGGGTTTTTATTAAACTTGGGCCTTATTGTATGGACTTTTATTAAAATTGGGCCTTAATGTATGGGCTTTTAGTGAATATAGTTATTAAACTTGGGCTTTATTGTATGGGCTTTTTTTTGAACAAAAGATATTTTCAAAATTTTTGGTTCAGTTATTTGGCTAGTTCTTTTTGTTATACATGTATTTTTAGTTACTAGGTATAAACATAGAAGATGCACCTCACTTGGTCAAGCGGGAAGAGGTACTAATATTTTGGGAATATAATTGTATTTTGGATATTCATTCGGTTCTGTTCATGCATCTTAATAATACTTATATATGATATAGTTTTAGATACTTAATAATTTCTGACAATTTGGTTTTTTTCAAGCAGTGCACTTTGGAAGGCTTTGGAGAGTAGAGTAATATGTACATGCATTATTTAGCTTATTAGTTTTTCAGATTTAACAAACTTTCATTATAATACGCTTCATTAAAGTGTAAATATGATACAAGATTAAGCTTAAATACCAAGGGGTACACAATATAGATAACCAGAACTAAACCAATTCTATATATACTAACTGAAACTAAACCAATTCTATATACACTCTAATAGAGTAGTGATGCTTTATTTTGTACCTTTTATTTTGTAGTGATGCTTTACAATTAGTATCGGAGTTGATAATTTATACTCTCTAAGTCTCTACCACCATATCTTTCAGAGGACATGCATCATGGAATGGCTTATGGAGCACCACAGTTCATGCCCAAACTGTCGGACCTATTTTCCAACGTAGTTCAAATTTTAAATGTGTGTATTAGGTTTTGTTTATTGCATTGTAAATTTGTAATAGGAGTAATAATATAATACAAGTAACAATGATTAAATAGATACAACAAAGGCATTCCCTAAAATTTCTCTTATACCGATTGTATTAAAAGACCAAACTACCTTATCTGTCTGTATCTCTAAACGTGTTAATTGGCGAAGAAGAAAACTCCATGTACTCTTCTTCACTCTTGCACCTTTTGTATTGAAATCTCTCTTCCTGACTCATGTTTGATTTTACGGCTCAATCGATTTAACACTCAATTAACGATTCATAGTTTCTCTGACAGATGCGATTTGGGGTTTTGATTTACTCTTATTGGGTTTTTTTGTACATTTTGATTTAGCTAGCATTCACTAAGCGAATCTTAGGTTTCTATTGTTCTCTCTTTCTCCAGCCTCAATGCCAAATTGTTTCGGACGAGTTAGCCGAAAGAACTTTTTTGGGTATGAGATGATATTTTCTTTTACTTTACTTCTCTTTCGATTAGTGATTTAGTGTTTAGAAATTTAGTACATCGATTGATAAGCGATTTAGGGTTTTGATTTACTTTTATTGGTTTATCTGTGTGTGTAAAGGCTTTTGCGTTTTGGGAGACTCGCATTAGTTAACGAGTGATTGAGAATATCTATCTCTTGACTTGTTTGTGAAAATTTTCATTTTTTTTTTGGGCATAAGGGTTGGAGACAGTGACTTTTTTTTTTTTTTCTTAAAATTTCTGTTGTTATATTAAGATAACGATACCGATTACATTGATATAGTAGAGGTGCCATAGCAACTATGAAATCCGGGATGAACAAACCCGGTACAAAAATAATACATAATTATAATAATTAGGAAGTAGAAAAAGGAGAAGAATTACGAAACCACAGCTGAAGCAGGCCTTGGAGCTTTGCGATGCTGTTCCTTGCCGAGCAAATGTTACGAATACGCTTATCAAGCTGGAGACACAGTCTTTCAACAGGGGTGCGGGTTCCGGTGTACAAATGTGCATTCCTCTCATGCCACAGAGAGTATATCAGAGTCTGAGCTGCTAAAAGCTTTAACGTCCCCAACTTCACTTCATTAGTAGGGGATTTCAGCCAAAGAAGGAAATTATCCCAAGTAGTGAAACCTGTGAAAGGCAGATGCAACTTTGCAAAGCACCATCGCCACAGGTCATAACTATATGGACATCTCAAGAAAAGATGATGCCTTGTTTTGAAATATATTTCACAAAGATAGCAAGAGTCATCCTCCACAATTCCCCAGTTTCTGAGCCTCGAGAGATTAGGTAGTCTGTCAAGGCAGCACATCCACATGGTGAATGAGTACTTGGGAATAGCGCCTGAAAACCATACCTGCTTATGCCAAGGTACCTCCTGACCCACAGGCTTGTAAAGCTGCCAAGTTCCAGAGAAACTGAACCGCTCTTGTGGCTCACCATTCGGTCTTGCCCAAAGAAAAACGTCTTTCTCGTCTTCATTAAATACAGTGCCTACGAGATGGCTGAGAAGGAGCTCTTCATTAAGATTACGGGCGCCTCTGAAATTCCATCCATCCCGGGAACGAGCTTTTGCCACAGTAGAGTCTAGAGGGAGTCCCATTCTCTGATGAGCTCCAGGCCCAAGGAATGTGATTAAATCCCCAAAGGGAGTCCAATTATCAAACCAAAAGGAGCAAGAGTTACCATCACCAATTTTGCAGGAGAGGAATGATTTTGCTATGGTTCTTAGATTGAGCATCTGTTTCCACATAGAGGAGCCTTTACTTTTTGATGGAAGTCTCCAAAAACATTTCCTACGCAGCTTGTATGATTTGTATGATTTGTTAAAAACAATAGCTTTATTAACCATAACAGGGCTTTTGATTTATGTTTAGATTCTATCTCAATGTGTAACCCCTACATTCTTTCGAGAGAGCATTTTTCCAGAATATATAACTGATTTGGTTTGTCCTGCATGCAAACTCTGCTCCTGTCGTGGTTTTCTTCGAAGAAAGCTAATGAAGTCGCTGCTTCTTCTGGTGGATATCACTTTATTCCGCAACCACTCTCTTCTTCCGTTATTATATACACGTTGCTCTTTATTGGGCTTCTTTTAAAATGGGCTTAGTTTTAGTCCAGCCCATATGATCAAAACAAACCTTCTTGTTCGTTAAGAGGTGTTAAAAAAACAGAAACACAAAACTGGAGAAGAAAACCACCGGCGCACATGTTTTACCGGTAATCAGAGATTCTTCACCGCCGTGAGAAAAACATCTCTATATGGACGACATGTCTCTCTCACGAGCTCTTCGTAAACAAGAATGGCGAGTAAACCTGATCATCTCCATCATCATCACCTATCTTCAAGGAGATTGATGCTTGTGTTGTATTTCACCAGTGTTCTTGGGATTGGATTCGTCGCAGCTTTTCTGTGTCTGTCTTCTTCGAATCTCTCGTTCTCCGCCGTTTCTTCAATCTGGGTTCCCTTAAACCGGCCGGAGATTCAGATCCCCAACATTGTTCAAAAGGTACCTTTACTTAAATCTTGTCAATTGATATGATTAGCTATATTCTTAGGATTGAGAAACCGTTAATTTATCATCTTTTAGATCTCACAGTTGCAGAGAAGAGGACTGATGAATTATGTTTTTAGGGTTTATCAGCTATTCGGAGTTTGAATTGATTGCGTTTTTAGGGTTTTAGCTATTCTGAGTATGGGTGGAAGAAAAGATGAACTTTATTCTTAGATTTCAACATTCTTCACTTGCAGAGAAGCAAGCAATCGAATCATTCTAATGATACAAAAGATCATGTCCGGTTTTTATCGGCAACATTCGCAGATATACCGGCGCCGGAGTTACATTGGGAGCAAATGCAATCAGCTCCAGTTGCACGGCTTGACGGATACTCAGTTCAAATCAAAAACCTTTTGTATGTCTTCTCGGGTTATGGCAGTCTTGACTATGTAAGAACCTGTTTATTGTAAGCTCAATTGTAAAGTTCTCTGAAACTGTGTTGAATGATCACTTGATTATTTTCCTCAGGTTCATTCTCATGTGGATGTGTTCAATTTCACAGACAATACGTGGTGCGATAAATTCGACACTCCTAAAGAGATGGCGAATTCGCACCTCGGTATTGTTACGGATGGACGGTATGTGTATGTTATATCAGGGCAGTATGGTCCACAATGTAGAGGACCTACTTCTCGTTCCTTTGTTTTAGACTCAGTTACAAAGACATGGCTCGAGTTTCCTTCACTACCAGCTCCAAGGTAAATACTTAGATCAGAAGATTTACTATGTTGTTTCTGCATAGTCATATAAGATTATCGAGCTCTGTTTTTCTTGGATTTAGGTATGCTCCTGCAACTCAGATATGGAGAGGGAGGCTTCATGTGATAGGTGGAAGCAAAGAGAATCGTAATGCAGTTGCTTTTGACAATTGGAGCATCGCTGTAAAAGATGGCAAAGCACTCGACGAATGGCGAGAAGAGGTTCCAATCCCTCGAGGTGGACCACACAGGTTTTGTTTTGTCTTTAGTCACTGCCTGTTTTGCCTTTTTCGTTTGAGTCCCTTAGGTTGCTAATGTTGTGGTTTACGGTGTAGGGCTTGTGTAGTTGCTAACGATAAACTACTTGTGATTGGTGGCCAAGAAGGTGACTTCATGGCCAAACCTAACTCGCCCATCTTCAAGTGCTCACGGAGACGCGAGGTTTACCTTCCTCTTTAATCTGTAGTTCCTGATTTCCAATGATTCATTTTCGACGTTTACTGATAAGATTGGCTGTTGAGCCTATCAACCAAACCAAATTTTCTGGCTTTAGTCAAAACTGTAAAAAACTAAGGGCACACTTCTAGTTTCTAATGTTTAGTCGCACTTCAGATCTTTAATGGTGAGGTGTACATGATGGACGAGGAGATGAAGTGGAAAATGCTGCCACCAATACCAAAGAACAATTCCCACATCGAATCTGCATGGATCATTGTCAATAACTCAATAGTCATCGTTGGTGGTACCACTGATTGGCATCCAGTGACAAAAAGACTTGTTCTTGTTGGAGAGATTTTCCGGTTCCAGTTAGATACTTTGGTCAGTGATACTATCCTCAGCATCTCAATCTTATCTCGGTGGTCTTTTTCTTTCATCAAACTCCGGTCAATCTTGTCTCTTTTCTTTTCTTTTCTAAAACTGAATATGAAATATTTTGCAGACTTGGTCTGTGATTGGAAGGTTACCATTCCGTGTTAAAACAGCGATGGCCGGATTCTGGAACGGTTACTTGTACTTCACGTCGGGGCAGCGCGATAGAGGACCGGATAATCCGCAGCCTGGAAAAGTTATTGGAGAAATGTGGAGAACCAAGTTGAAGTTCTGATTCTTACATATGCCACTTTTTAATAGAAAAAACCATTGTTTTGTTCTAGACACAGAACAAACTTTTTGTTAGTCATGAAAAATTGATATGAAGAAGACAAAGGTAAAATTGATAACTGTAAAAACTGGTCAGACAATGAAAAGGTATAATACTCCAATGCTGAGAAAGACATTACTTAAAAGAGTTTGAAACTTGTAATAAACACAACGTGAGAAATAAAAAAAAGATAAAATAGTAAACAAGTCCCACATCGATACTTATAAAAATTTTAAGCTAATATATATAAGGTAGAAATCGTTCATTGTATTGTCGATTGATAATGAGATAAAAGCTCTCAGTTCTTGAAATGACAATGGGTCTTGGGAGTTCTTCCTCGGATTGAAGAACCATTCAGAAGAACCATTCCTCGGATTGAAGAACCATTGAAGAACCATTCCTCGGATTGAAGAACCATTTCATTAATAGATACATGAGAATCTCTCTACTTGTTATCAATTGACATTTTTATGATACTCACCAAAACGACACCGTTTCGAATACGAAATCCTGAGTGGGCACTGTGTACGTGTGCGACCACACTTATCTTCTTCTCCGACGTTACACAAAACAAAAAAGAAAACAAGTATAGTCTCTCTCTCTCGATACGGGCGGTGTCTCCGACGACGAATAATAATAATAATAATAATCAAACTCCGGTCAAATCTCGGTGGTCTTTTTCTTTCATCTAAGAAAAAGCTTTGGTAATATTTTCGCTGGCGACACTGAAGCAGTAGCAGCGACGATGCATTCGTCGAGCCTTTTCTCGTTCGGCGGTCGTTATCCAATCATAACCTGCCGCGTGTCGTCTCCTCCTTCGCCTCCCGTCGTAGCTTCTCTTCCTCTCCCGCCGTCAAGCTCCTCCGACTCACTAGCCTGCTCCCTCCAATGTCCTCATTTCCAATCGTACGCTCCTCTTCGCCCATGAATCTCCATCTCTTAGTTTCCGTGGTAATTGATTCGATTTCGTCTCTGGATTGTTTCAGGTGCTCTGGTTGTACGCAGGAGTTCAATCTCCACCGTCCAGATGTAGTGGACGAAGCTTCAGGCTTCTTCAAGCGTTACGGCGTCGAAGATTTCACTTTCGATAGTTGTCGACTGGTTAATTTCATCTCTTCTTCTTCTTCTTCCTATTTTTGATTTCTCGTGGGTTTTGGTTTCTGGTGATAAATTTTTGGATCTTTGTGGTCAGTGGGGATGGAGATGCCGAGCAAAATTGGCCGTTCGTGGTTCATCAGATAATGCATTGATTGGATTGTACCAAGAGGGAACTCATACCGTTGTTGATATTCCTGAATGCAAATGTAATTTTGATTAAGCTGGTCCGCCTAAGTTCTTCACATAGATTTTGTGGTTGTGATTGAGGTTGAATTGTAAATTTTGTTGCAGCTCATCATCCTAATATTAATGCTGCCATTGAGTTATTAAGAGAAGGTAGTAGTAGTAGTAAGAGTTATTATGTGTTTTGTGATTGAAAGATAGAGATTTTGATTGTGTTTATACTCAGTTGATGGATTTTTTTCTTTCTATAATAAGGTATTAAGGTATTCGATGTCGTGCCATTTGACGAGGATCAGGGGACCGGGGACTTACGATATGTTCAGGTGATTAGTATTTGAGTATTTATGGCTATTTTGAATCCAATCTAGTGCAGTGTGGTGATGAGTTTTTGTTTTATTTTTATCAATAGATGGCTGTTACAACGCACAGTACAAATCTTCGTGCTCCAGAGCGATACAAAAATGGTTGAAATTTTTTTCTTTGGTTTTGTATTTTTGCACAGTGATATGCTGCAGTAAGTGTAGTTTCTGATTTCATAATATTGGTTTCAGGAAAAGTGCAGGTGTCCTTGGTTTGGAACTCGAGAAATGAGAGATCTCATAATGCAGATAAGTTGCAAGCATTGTCCAGCGTGAGTTTTTTGGAAGTCGTGGTTCCTTTTGCATGTTTCACACGGTGTTTTTTCCTGCATTTATCACTTGTGTATCTTTCATTTGCAGTACTTGTGGAGAAAGGGTGGACCCAACAGCAAGTTTCACTTGATCCATTCTGTGTGGGCTAACTTTCAGACATCAACCAACAATGTGAGTCAGAGAACAAGAACTTTCATATGCTATGGCTTAATATTCAGGGAATATCAGACTTTGTTCTGGCAACATTTTGTGTACTAATATTTTTCTGCCTGAAAGTGTTCCTTTCTCTATTGTTCAGTTGCTTAACATCAGACGTAATTATTCCCTTTGTCTTAGATAATCTTTGGAAACAGATGGAGGCATCTTTTAGGTGAGAGAGATTTCTGGGAACATGTAGGAGGAATTGACATATCCTTGGATCCTTCCAGTTTTGGCCAGGCAAATACACGGGTGAGCATGCAGATAATGAATTAAAGTTTATGAGGCTGGAGTCAATCAGCACCATTGATTTACTGGTTTGAGTGAATTTTCTTATTGGCTGTAGTCATGCTCTATGATTCCTAATTTATCAAATGTTTTGTGTCAGGCTTTTGATAGCTTGCTTTGGAAACTGCATAAGTATGTTCCTGGTGGATCATCTGTTGCTGATCTGTATGCAGGAGCCGGAGTGATAGGATTATCGTTAGCTACATCGAGAAAATGCAGGCAAGAACATGGATTGTTCACATCTGTCCTTTATCTAAGAAGATTATGTACTAATTCATTTTGATGGAAAATTCTGACCCCAACTTTATACTTCAACCTGATTTCAGTTCTGTCAAATGCATTGAGGTTAACAAAGAAGCAAGGCTATCTTTTGAGAAAACAATCCAGCGGTTACCTAACTCATTGAATTGCAGTATCAGTTGGCACCATGCAGATGCTTCAGTTGTAAGTTGTTTTTGCATTTAGCAAACAAATTTTCAATTCTCTAGAATTTTACTAAACGTTTTCTTGATGTGTTTTACTGTGTGTATTTGAAATTCTACAGAACCCCCTTTCATGGATTATAGGGTCAGATGTAGTCGTGGTGGATCCTCCTAGGAGAGGTTTGGATGCTTCTCTTCGTCAGATGTTGGAGTCTGTCCCCTCCATTGAGAAAAGAATGAGGTCGAAATCACCGAGGTTGATAAAATTTCTTACGAATGAAGTTTTCTACCCTGTCATCAAAACTCCAGAGTACAAATGTAGATCTTTATGAGACTGTAAAGTTTTTCTCTTGTTTCAGTTCAAGCTCTAATGAAAAAGAGGAGAAGAGGCCGTGGATTTTAAGAGCAAAGGAACTTTCAATTCAAGCTGGCAACAAGCTGACCCCTGAGGAGAATAATACACTACCGCAAAGACTCATATATATAAGCTGTGGTTGGGAAAGCTTCAAGGAGGTACCAGAGACACAGTGATATCACCTCTATACTAACGGCAAATAAGTAACAAATTGTGCTGGTTAAATTATTCTAACTTCTAAACAAATGATTAGGACTGCAAGTCGTTATTATCTAGCAGAGCGTGGGAGTTGGAAAAAGCTCATGGTTTCAACTTCTTTCCCGGAACCGATAGGTATCAGTTCATAGAAACATTTACTTGCATTTTATACTGCAAAAATATTATCCACGCTTATTTTACAATTGGGGTTTTCAGCATTGAAGTTTTGGCTGTGTTCAAAAGAAGGGTTCCTATGAAGAAAAAGAAGAAATCGGGAATAAGAAAAGTGGGAATAAAGAAAGTGCGTGCTCCTAAGTAGAATCACAGGACTCTTTATTAGTTAATATCTGTAACTTTAGAACTTCAAAAGTTTAGAAGACCATCTAATGGATGAGAAAACAGTTTTGCTCTGTTCCTATTGATAAAGAGATATGGTTCTCTCGTTCTTTATGTCATTGCAAGTAGAAAAAGAGATGTGTGTAATATTTATCTTATCAACTTGTGTTGGATATGAAGAAAAAGTGCAAAACTGGACAGATACATCTTCAAGAATGGGAACAAAAAAACACAAGGCTGCAAGTCATTTTTTACAACACAAGTAAACAAAGTTCTTTTGTCTTAGATTCAGTTACAAAGACTTGGCTCGAGTTCCCTTCACTACCAGCTACAAGGTAAAGACTTAGATCAGAAGATGTACTATGTGGTTTCTGTACAGTCAAGTAAGATTACCTAGCTCTGTTTTGTTGGATTTAGATATGCTCCTGCACGATAGAGGACCGGATAATCCGCAGCCTGGAAAAGTTATGTTGGAGAAATGTGGAGAACCAAGTTGAAGTTCTGATTCTTACATATGCTACTTTTTAATAGAAAAAGTGAAAAACCATTGTTTTGTTCTAGACACAGAACAAGCTTTTCTTAGTCTATAACATCATAGCACAACATGAAAAATTGCTATGAAGAAGACAAAGGTAAATTGATAACTGTAAAAACTGGTCAGACTGTGAAAAAAGTAAAATATTCCGATGCTGACAAAGCTGAGAAAGACAAAGTAAATTAGATTTACTGAAGAGTTTGTAACTTGTAATAAACACAACGTGGGAAATAGAAAAGATGAAATAGTAAACAAGTCCCACATCGATAGTTATAAAACTTGTAAGCTAATATATATAAGTTAGAAATCGTTCTTTCTATCGTCAGTTGATAATGAGATAGACGTACTCGGTTCTTAAAATGATTATGGGGCTAGGGAGATCTTATGATTGAAGAAAGATTGCATTCATAGATACATGAGAAACTCTCTACTTGTTATCAATTGACTTTTTGGTTAATGCTCATAAGAACTATTCAATTTTACAGGACTTCCCGGTCAATTTCCACCGTTGGAGCCATTTTCCGGTTTGATATTAAATTAGAATAGTAAACCAGCAACTCAAAATCGGTTTATGGTTTACTCGCTATCAATTTATTTGGACTTTAGAAAACAATTTTCGGTTTGATGTTTCTTATACGTACCAGCTTTAATTTTCATTTAAAATTGATAATTCGGTTTTGGTTTAGCTTAAATCAGCTAAATCCGGTCTAGGTTCAACTTCCGGTTTAGTTTAGTTTGATTAGTCTACGAGTCAAAATCAATAAATAAAGCCTAATCAAATGGTAAGTTTACCAAACACAGCCAAATCTCTCCGCTAAGTCCCAATCAGACTCTATAATCTTTTACCAAAAGAAAATATTAATTATGTATATATCGTTAGACTTAAGTGTTCATTTTTGTCCGCGCATATATATGATGTAACCATTTTTAAGAACAAAGACAAAATCTAAGAAAGAGACTTCAAATTGTTATCGTGGTCGGTCCAACGAGAATAGGCATGTCATATATATGTTCTTCTTAGTACAATGTGTATGTTTGTATATATGAGAGATTAATTGGTAACTTCCACCATAACCATATAATTTGGTTTAGCCAAACCAAATTAGATACCTTGATAATAATACAATTATAATAAAGTGGGCATTACACATCAGACATGACACAACTTCCACTGTTACTCTTTCTTTGTTTGTTTTGAGTCCATTTCTTTGGATCTTTGTGTATTGTCTTGAGACTCTTGAACCAAAAAAACAAACATAACCCATGCCATCATTGTTTTTTCTCTAAAGATTCCATTTGTTATTTGTTATTAGATTTGATATTTGATATAATATGGTTACAACTTATATTGTATGTATATATAATGGAAAGTTGAGAATTCCATAAAGATGACTACTCCTGAAAAGATTATTATATATATTGCGTTACTCATTACTCACTTCATTTTGTTTTAGTGCTGACGGAAAGAGAAATTTCGATGGCAATATATATTATTGGATTCATAAACATCATAAAAGCTTTTTTAATCAATATAATTACAAAGTTTTGCTTAACGCAAGAGTCGGCAAAACAAAACAAAAACTAATATTTTGGCGTATCTATGCATCAATCAATCTTAATATGTATTGTCAATCGTCCAAAATCATTTTTTTATGTGCTAAACATTTTGAATTATTAAATAAGACTTAACAAAATTTGGCATTCAGTAATCATACAAATTAAAACTCCAATGATAAATCCCAATACCATCATCAAATATGGTGAACCGAATAGATATTTAATCAATTGGAAAAATCAGTGAAAATACTTTTGACTGTTAACCAGATTTAGTTCCTTGCAAGTTCCAACGTAGAACTTTACAAGTTTTTGCATATTGTTTAGTATATTCACAACTATCAAATGTAATTCACAACTTTCTCTGATACAAATGAAATATATACAAGGTAAAATAACCAAGCTATATACATTTATGGCTATCCAATAGATATCCTAAAGAGACATATGTCCTTTTGGAGATTAAAATGATTAAATTAGCCAGTAGTCGTGATTAACGTTTTAAAACGGTGAATAGTCAAAAAGTAGTTTTGTTTTTGGTCACCTAATCATGCCAATCTTAATTTCATTGAAACAAATAGAGAAAAAGAAGAAGTATTGTTTATACATATCTAGTAAGAAATTATATATTCATGTCACTATATCTTAATCATTTTTACAATAACTTTTTACAATAATTACATGATTAAATTTTTAAGCAAGCAATAATATTCCATAGATAAAAAAAAACCTACACACAACAGTAAAAGTGTAGAAGTATAGAACTATAAGGTATGCTGATATGTGGTGTTAAAATCAAAAGTGTAGAACTATAAGATATACTGATCGGTGGTGTTAAAATCAAATGATTTGAAATGATTTTCACTTTTCTTTGAAAAATCTCCCAACTATACAAACATTTGATATTTTGTGGTAACAAAAATTTATAATATATCTTAATTTGATGATTTCGATATCCTCTTCCTTCACATCACATTCATTGATTAGTGAGGATCGTTTAATATTCTTCAATGATATTTAATTAGTGAAGGATATTTAATTAGTGAAGAGTTGTAACCACCTCAAAATATATGACGTTTAATAATTTTGTACAAAAATATTACATTCAAAGTTAGAGTACGAATTACATCAAATAAACACGTATCATTAACCATTGAATACTGATATTAACAGATTAATTACATAAGCCTTTCCATATCAGGTTGACCTTTAATCACCGATAAAAAAAAAACTCTTATCATATACTATATCTACATTCATAACAATTTTTTTTTCTCTAGATTTACTATTTATGAGGTCATAAAAATTTGGATTCCATATATATATTTTTTTGTATTTTTCTTAATATATAAATACAATTAGGAATTTATAAATATGGTAGCGGTTGTTGTATTCTTTCAGATTCCATTATTTTCAGTGAAATATGATTATTTACCGTATAATATATTTATACTATTTTTTAGAGCTTGGTAAATACAACAAAATAATCATATTTTATGAAATTCCATCATGTTGTCGACCTTGGTTTGGAAATGATATACAAGACTTTCTATAAAAAATTTTAGAAAAGAGATTCAACCCCCTCGAAAGTAAGAAGAAACCACGAAAGTAAAAGATTAATATATAATGATTTCAAAACTCTATCTTAAGAAAGAAAATGATGATACAATGTAAATAAATTCAATTATTTTAGTTCTAAATTATTTTTTTAGAAGTTATAATTAATCATTCTTACGCATAATTTTATGATGAAAATAAAAGTAAATAAATAATAGGTTTTAGAAGAAAGAAAAAACAATTATAATTATCTTTAATTTATAGTAAGACAACTATCAGTAACTATCCAAAATGATTCTAAAATCTGATTTGTGTACAAAGATAGTAAAATAAAATGTATACGGGATGTTGTTGTATCCTTGAATTTCATCTAATCCAAAAATCGATTTCATTATACCGGATAACATCTAAATATCCGGTTTAACCAACAAAAACGGTCCACGAATATATATATACACTATATATTTTTCTATTCTCACAAGAACTTTAATACTAATCACACACTAATCAAAGATATTTACAATAGTGTGCCACGTGGCGACTCCTAACAAACAAATAAAAAAAGTCACTCATTTGTCCCCACCATGATCTATAGCACGATAACTACGTGGCGAGATTATTTTACTCATTCTAAAACGACACCGTTCGAACACGAAAACCTGAGTGGGCACCGTGTACGCGTAGGACCCATTTCCCTTCTTCTCCGACGAAAGACACAAAACAAAACAAAACAAAAATAAGTATTCTCTCTATGTATACCTTCTCTCTTTGTCTTTTGATCATAGCAATAATAATTTCTCAATCAAAAACTCTCTCTCTCTCTTTCTCTGTGTATCTGTAATTATTTATTTGAATTAATATAATATAGTAAAAAGTATATATGCTTATGAATGGGTTCGTCTCCTTCATCGCTTAACAAGTCTCCGATTAGAGCTGACTGTATGGTTACCCCTGCATCTCCTATTACCAACAACGACACCGTTTCAATGATCGTCTCTCCTTCTCCCATGAAAACTTTTGGTATTTTTTTTCATATTTTCAAACTTTACTTTTATTTTTATTTTTTGGGTAATCGTTAACGATTAGTTCGTCTGAGAATTGAGAATTGTGGGGTTATTTTTTTTTCACTTTATGATTTTTAAAAAAAAAAACTAAATTCAACTCTCAGAATCGCCGAGGAAGAGTGGTTCGATACCGGCGGTTTCTCCGACGATGAAGACGGCGAATAACAATCAAACTCCGGTCAAATCTCGGTGGTCTTTCTCTTCATCTAAGAAAAGCTTTGGTAATTTTATTTTCTTTTATTCCATAAAGTTTATCACTTTTCCTTTTTAATTTCCTTCCTCATTTGGGTTTTTTTTTTTAAAAAAAAATCTTTTTGGATGGATGATTGGTTCCTTTTCTCTGTTATTTTAATTTAAGTTATTGGGTTTTGATCTTATTTGCATAAATAAATGTTTCTTCAATATACTTTGCTCTGTTTTTTTGGTTTGAATAAATAATTTGGCATGTGAAGATTCGGTGACTTTAAAAAAAAAATATGTTATTCCCATTATTGGTTTCTTTCTTCTAAAAATCAATTTTGATTTGCTTCCTTGTCAACATAGTTAGATGAGACTTTTAGGTTCGTTTCTTATCTGATAAGATCAGATAATAAAACTTGATTTTCTTCCATTTATAGATTTTATTCAGTGAGTTGACATAAACAACCCATCAAAAAAGATTTTATGCTAACACTGTAAACTTTTCCGTGATCATATAGATATTTTTTTTTGTATTCCATTTCACAACAGGAAAAAAGGTAATTTGTAAAAGTGAAAGAGAGCTGTTTTGGTGAATTGTGAATTTATATAAAAAGCTGTCTACTTTAACAGTGACCCAGATCTGAAAAAGTGTTCTGCTAATCAGTAGTCTTCTTGATTTGAGCGGTTTTTATTGTTTTTCTCGCTTTAATTTGAAGGCGTTTTTCGAAATTATCAAAAAAATTTACCCGGGAACTCTGGAGTAGCCAAATTTTAAACTTTCAAGTTACTCTCTTTTTAGGCATTGCTTGCTTTGTAAAGTTTCCTCATATTACATCTCCTCCTCTTTTGAGTACCCTTCATCAGTTTTGGTCTTATTGTAGTACTATCTTATGATGATTGAATCAAAAGGTTTTGAAATACACTTGCTGAGCAATTTACATACCATTCTTGTTCTGAACGTATGCTTTGATTTGTTCCACAGGAAGTAAAGATGAAACCTTTTTCGATTCGCAGCCATGGCTACAATCTGACTCAGACGATGATTTCCACAGCGTTAATGCCGGTAAACTAATCTATCTATCTTTCTTAGTTACTTGTATGAATAGATTCAAAATCTTGATTTTCTTGTTTTTGGTATATACTTTGAACTACTCAGATTTCACTCCATCCCGTGGAAACACTCCTAAAGGCAGCTTCTCGGATAGGCCACCACGTTTCCACAACCTTATATTCCACGAGAGGAAGTCTTCTCTAGGCTCATCTTCTCCAGCGCCACTTCCGAGGAGGAAGAAGCTTGGTGAGCTTTTCAGAGACAGTATTAGAGAAGAAAGAGAGGAAAGCTCTGAAGGAGGCGGTTCATCGTCAGCTATAAGCACTCCTTATCTCTCAGGTGCTAACTCTGGCGAATTCAACAACGATACAAAGGAAGAGAAGAAGAAGTCTAACTGGCAGCATCATCGTTGCCTTCCTGGTTTCTCTTCTTGTGGTGGAAGTTTCATGGAGAGGAGGAAGAAGATGAGCTCTGAAACTCCAGCTGTTGCTGTTGAATGAGAGATGTAGAGGATCTTGAAAATTTGGATTATGTTTTTGTATATGAAAGAATGATAAAAAGAGAGAGAGATACAGAAGAACTCTCAGAGTATAAACAGAAGCTCTGGTGAAGTTTAAAGAGTACTCTACAACTTTGCTATGATGATGATGATGATAAGAGAATGAATCAATAGGTTGAAGAGATAATGTAAAAAAAAAAGATGAAAATGAGGTGCTTATGTGTTGATGAATTTTTTATGTTGGCTTTTGAAAATTTTGTCATTCTTGAATAGTGTTCCACCACTAAACATGTATTTAGTTGTTTAATCATGCATTAAAATAGCTCATAATTGTTTATTTTTTCTCATTACGTGTATAGACGAGAAATTTTATTCATGTACTACTAAAAAGCATGTTTAAGTCTCAAACCCTCAAGAGTCACACAATACTTAATACAATTTATTATTCCTTTTTATCATATTAAATGATGTATTAGGAGATACACTTCTATGTGCAATGAAGAGCTTGGTTGCATTGGATATGGTAGAGTTCTAATAGTGACGAATTGTTTGGATATTCTAGCAATGATTGTAAACAAAGAAGACATATTTGCTTCAGATGAGAGATTTTACCTTTTTAGATATCGTTTAGAGGGGTTAAAGCATCTCAAACGCCAAAAGTCTCTCATAAATAGATTTCTAATTTTTTCACCTGATTTTCCATTATTTTTAACTATTTTAATACTAAGAAACCTATTTACAATATCTAGTTGGAGAAAGTCTTAGTATTAGACATATCTCTAGAGAGATTAATAAATGTTTCGATAAACTTGCGCAATGTGTAATGGCACGAAATTTTGTTTTTTTTCATATAAGTCTGTTGATAATTAATTGAAAACATAAAGAAAATTTTGGTTATTTTGTATAGTTATGGAGTATATTCTAAGATTATAGTTTAAAAATATAACATGAATATTATTTATAGAGATGAGGTTTAGGAGAAAAATTCATTTTTACAAAAAAAAAGGTAAAAACATATTTCAACATATATAATTATATATATAAGATATTTTATATATATATATATATATATATATAGTGATTATTAATTTATGATATTATTGGAACTATATTTTACATAGAGATGTCAAAAAATTATTATCTTATTATTTTATCGAATTTAGTTAATTTTTTATAAAAATTGTTATGTGAGTATAAAAAATACGTTAAAATTAAGATAGTACAAAATAATACAAAATTTATCCAACCACCAAAAAGAAGTTTATATCCACTAAACAATTGTATAATTCCGCAGTTACCCATTCAAATCCCCAATCAAAGCCCGGGCCCCAATCAAATTGACGAATAAAGAAAACAAGAGAAGAAGTAGAAGTTTTAGGTGAGAGTTGAGAAAGCTGGTTCAAATAAAAATGCTTTCTTACCCAAACCATATGGTCTTTAATCCTTGCTTGTTGTAGGCTGCTTGTCTTCTTAACTTATTCGGCAATTCTGATGCAAACATGTTACTTGAACACACACACACACACACAACAATACAACATTAACAAAAACAGAACATATTGCTTATTTAAAGATTTGACAACCACCAAAGATCTTTAGCTTCGATTCAACTCCAAGCTTGTTTTCCTTTGTCTCTTTTGTTCCTAACTTTGATCTCTTTACGCAACTAAAGTCCATGCATTCCCCTATATATACACGACTTAGCAGCAAAGCTTAATTCAAGTATATCTAAACCAAGTTTAAAATCCACTAAAAACCAATGAAAATGCAAGCAGTTCTTGTGATCTTGGTTTTCTCCGGTTTAATCTCGGTTAAGACAACGTTAGCAGCACAACATGTGATCGGTGGTAGCCAAGGCTGGGAACAATCCGTTGATTTTGATTCTTGGTCTTCCGATCAATCTTTCAAAGTCGGCGACCAACTAGGTACATACATACGTTTCTGTCTAGTAATCTCAATTTCTAAATCAAACCGAACCGGTTTAATGCTAACTGAACCGTTCTTTTTTTTTTTGGGTGTATCTTGTAGTTTTTAAGTATTCAGGACTACACAGCGTTGTTGAGCTGGGAAGTGAAACGGCATACAAGAGTTGTGACCTGGGAACACCTGTCAATTCGTTGAGCTCTGGAAACGACGTCGTGAAGCTATCCAAAACCGGTACTCGTTATTTCGCCTGTGGAACCGTTGGACACTGTGAACAAGGCATGAAGATCAAAGTCAACGTTGTCTCTTCTGACTCCAAATCCGCTTCCTCTCCGGGTTCCGGTTCGGATTCAGGTTCGGGTTCGGAATCTAGTTCGGGTCATGGGTTACGGGCTTCTATTGGATACATTTTCGTTGTTGGATCATTGGTTATTGGTCTCATTTGGGCTTACTGAGAATTTTAGGCTTTTGTAATGTACCGAGGATTTATATATTCGTTGGGGAGAGAATAAAATATTTTGGGAATGATTGATTCATTCGTATTTGTTGTTGTTGTTGTTGTTTGTTGAATATACTGTATTTGTTATTTTGTGAATCGTTATGTAGTTCGGTATTATTGCGTTTCTGATCTTATTCTATATACCTTGTTTATCATGTTCTCTCTCCCTCTTGATTGGTCCGGTTGGAATATTCATTAATATGCCTTCTCTTATATCACACAATCATTTTTTAAAATGTCATTATCCACATTATTAATTTCAATTAATTCGCATATATTTTTTCTTAATTTTTTTTACTTATATTAATTTAAACATTTTAGCTTAGCAATAAAAAAAAAGCACACATGCAATAACTGAATAACATGTCAGCTAACGTCAAATAAATTTAATAACTGCAACTAAAATTTTATTTTTAAATAATTTTTGCAACAGTAATACGACTTTGCAAGTCTTTGTTAAACCCTATTTTAAAAATCGAAAACATATTTTAAATTTAGTATTTAATCGAGTTTCTTCCAAAAACAAATATTTTAAAAAGACGGAGGGAGCGAGAGAGAGGACAAGTGGGATTGCTGCTGAATTGTGCAGAGATCGTCGTCGTCACTGATCACTTACGAATCCTTCTTCTTATATTTTCCCTAAATCGTCTTCTTCTTCTCCGGAGACCAAATCGGGATTTTTATTCGCCGTGGAATTAAAAAAAAATGCCGGAAGATTCAACGTCGATTGACTATGTCATGGAGAAGGCATCGGGGCCTCACTTCTCCGGTCTTCGCCTCGACGGTCTTCTCTCTTCTCCGTCGAAATCATCCGTCTCTTCTCCTTCTCACTTCCGTTTGAGTAATTCATCTTTTTCGGCTACCGACGATCCCGCCGCTCCTAATCAGCCCTTCGTTATCGGTGATTTCTCGATTCTCCTCCCGCGCTTTGATTCTTCCTTGTTGAACTGTTGAAGTTTCTCAAATTCCGATCATCGTGTATTATATCTCAGTTTCTTGAAATTTGGCGGGTTTTAATCTTAGGGTTTTAGCTGTACGAACATTTGTGCTTACAAGATTAGAGATGTCTGGATCAGAGCCAGTTTCTAGGGATTAGTCTTATTTTCCTTTGATTCAATTGAATAATCAGTTCCTAGGGCTTAATCTTGGTATCGTTTGACCTCTGTAGGAGTTACTGGTGGTACTGCTTCTGGTAAGACGACGGTATGTGACATGATTATACAGCAACTTCATGATCATCGCATTGTTCTAGTTAACCAGGTTAGATTTTGTAGCTAGTCCCTTGTTCTCAGTTCTTCTGAGATTGCCTCTTTGGTTGCTCGCTGATGCTGTTTGGTTGATTAGGATTCCTTTTACCGTGGTCTGACATCTGAAGAACAGGAGCATGCACAAGAATACAATTTCGATCATCCTGGTAATTTGTTCTTTTGATTTGGGTACATTGATGCTTAGCTGAGGAAATTTTGGTGACATTTTTTAAGTTTGTTGTTTTTCGTTTTCTCTAGATGCCTTTGATACTGAGCAGCTTTTGCATTGCATTAACACACTCAAGAGTGGGCAACCTTATCAAATTCCAATTTACGACTTCAAGACCCATCAACGTAAATTAGATGCGTTCCGTCAGGTGCATAATCTTCTGTGCTATTTGCTAATATGTGTCTTTATTTGTTTGACCTCCTTATTTGGTTCCTTTCTGCAGTTTTTGTGGGTTTAGTTTCTTACTTCATGTGGCTGAGTCTTATTGTCGTTTGTTAAATCAGTCAGTTGGGACCTATTTCAGGTCAATGCTTGTGATGTCATTATTTTGGAAGGGATTCTGGTTTTCCATGACTCACGAGTTCGGGACCTGATGAATATGAAGATCTTCGTTGACACAGGTTAACTAGCGGCAGTATACTTTTATCTTGATTTGACCTTTTTGTTCTGCACAATTATAAATGATATAATGACAATCTTATATTGTGATGGAAGTTGTCCACCTCTTGCTCTGCAGATAATGGTGCCCTTGATTGATTGACTCACTTTCGCCGTTTTATTACTTGTTGACCATTAAATACTGAATAAATGCCTTTGAAGCTATATAGTTGGGAAACTTTGAATCTATTTGTAAATTGTAATGTTAACAATCCTATTTTAAGTTAAACACTCCTCATCCTAACTACTTATTGATTCCAGATGCTGATGTGAGGCTTGCTCGCAGAATCAGGCGTGACACAGTTGAGAGGGGTAGGGATGTTGATTCTGTGCTTGAACAGGTTAGTCTTCGTTTCAAGTTTTCGTGTAAAAAAATTCATTAAGGTTCACCTATCTAAGTTAGTGCCCTAATGTCTGAATACAACACCAGAGATTAGGAACCTATGGTTTTCGTGCAAAACTGAACAGCTCAATGTCCCTCCTATTATTTGGGTGACTCTGGCTTAATTCCGCTCTTTAAACAGTGTTGTTTTTTGAGCTTCCTTTATTTTTCAACTTTTCTTGATTTGAGGGCTTTATGTTCATTTGCAGTATGCAAAGTTTGTGAAGCCTGCGTTTGATGATTTTGTGCTCCCCTCAAAGAAATATGCTGATGTGATCATTCCCAGAGGAGGTGACAATCACGTTGCAGTTGATTTGATTGTGCAACATATTCACACAAAACTTGGGCAACATGATCTCTGCAAAATCTACCCAAATGTTTTTGTTATCGAATCAACATTTCAGGTAATTTCCACCTTTTCGAGCGGTTTGATGCTTGATTCAGACGGTAAGGCTTAAAACCATCTTCGCACCCTTGATCATAATTGCAGATAAGAGGCATGCATACACTTATTCGAGAGAAGGACATATCAAAACATGACTTTGTTTTTTACTCTGATCGCCTCATTCGTTTGGTACTCCTTTTAACTTGAGTCATCCTTTTCAACATGAATCAGCTTCCAGGCCTTGTCATTTCAGTTGTTGATGGCTTTATTTCAGGTTGTGGAGCATGGTCTTGGCCATTTGCCATTTACTGAGAAACAAGTAGTTACTCCAACAGGTATAAGCGGAGAATCGCTTGAGCTGTAATGATACTTTATAATTTTTATTTATGGCTAAAATCTGGACGAACTAGTTCTCTAGATGCTTTACAACTACAATCTGAACAACACAAAAACCTTATCGATCTAGAAATGTTGTTTGTGCCCTGTGGACAATCAAAGTGTAAACCTTCTGCTATGGCATTTACTGATTGATTGCATCCTCACAATTATAATTTCTAATCTTTTACAAATCAGGATCTGTGTATAGCGGTGTTGATTTCTGCAAGAAACTCTGTGGGGTCTCAGTCATTCGAAGGTGAGCGTTAAAAGGTATTACGTATTTTAGAGTTCTTAATAGATAAGATGGAGACTTGAGCTGTTTGAGTTTGACCATCCAATTTGTTTTCATGTTGGAAAAACGGAGCTTGTGTAACATTGGAAACACACATTCTTTGTTTGCTCATGTATTGAGTGAGTGCCTTTTCTTAATTATGTTCTCTCTTGCCTAAGATCGTGTATGTTTTGTACGCTTTTTTAGTGGTGAAAGCATGGAAAACGCATTACGCGCATGTTGCAAAGGTATTAAGATAGGGAAGATTCTCATCCATCGTGACGGCGACAATGGAATGCAGGTTTGTTTTTTTTACTCATTACAAAGATGATGTCTCACTTTCAAAACTCGGAAACTTAAAAAAAGTTTTCTTGTATACGAATCAGCTTATATATGAGAAGCTTCCAAGTGATATTTCTGAGCGTCATGTCCTGCTTCTAGATCCCGTTTTAGGCACAGGTAACTTCAAACTCTTCTTTTTCATTCTCTTCTGCTTTGAATTGTATTCACTCTGAAACTTTTTTATTGGGATGATATCTTGAAGGTAACTCTGCAAATCAGGCTATAGAACTACTCATACAGAAAGGAGTACCTGAAGCCCACATTATATTCCTCAACCTCATCTCGGTGAGTCATAAAACCGACCATAACTTGTTCCCTCTCTCTGTTTCTCTGAGTCCCAACTCACATTTAGATTCTGGCACCGTGCAGGCGCCAGAAGGAATCCATTGCGTTTGCAAACGGTTTCCAAAGTTGAAGATAGTGACGTCAGAAATAGATCAGTGTCTGAACGAAGAGTTCCGGGTTATACCAGGCTTGGGTGAGTTTGGTGATCGCTACTTTGGTACTGACGAGTAGAAGAAGTACCAAAGTGTGTTTGTCAAATGGTTATTGTGTGTGTGAATGGGAAGTGTTGATCTTTGTCCAAAGATTCTTCACGGACTTCGTTTTCTATTTTTTTTTTGTTTCCTCTGCTGGGAAGCTTCTCGGTTACTTAGTTCATATCCGACGCTATTTCACTAACAACATTAGCATAGCTTTTGTTAAGAACCATTTGTGTTTCCACAAGAAACCTTCGAAATTTCATAAAATGTTCATTTTTACACTTGCTCAAACGATTCAGTAACATTCCTAATTCTCTAGCAATATGGGATGAGTAACAAAGGAAACTTCAGTAGGACGAAATATTATAAAACATCATCAAATAATTCCTAGACTGAACATTATATCAAACATGTACTACAATGCATTTGTTATATAGAAACGACAAGAAGTTGATTTATCACTACAGGATTCAAATAAAACTCATGGAAAACGTGTTTGATGAACAAACGACAAGAAGTTGATTAATCACTACAGGATTCATACCTTAATAATAGACACATTTGACATTTCACATTTCCAGTTTTGATTATTTTGTAGTGTGTTCAAAATGAGATAGACCCTGTGCATATGGAAATCTCATATAGAGCCACTACTAGATAAATGGAAACACACCATCAATGGAAACAAAATCAATTATTTCGGTGAAACAGTCAAACAAAGGACTTTTCATATGGTGTCGATGTGGAGCTCATGTCATGGAAAACGTTTAGGTTTGTATATATATACACATACGCAAATATTAAAGATCCACAACACTGAATTATACATCAGTAGATTTTGTTCTCAAACATTCAGAAAAATGAGCTTTCTTCTTCGTTCAATCAGTTTCCTTTTCTTCCTTTCAAACTTTCTAATTACGTTCGCTTCTCCTACACGGCACTTATGCCGCCCTGACCAAAGGGATGCCCTTCTTGAATTCGAGAGCGAGTTTACTATTCGGAATCTTTATACTGATTACTTTTCGAGTATTTCTTATCCGAAAACAAAATCATGGGCAAACGAAAGTGATTGTTGTTCATGGGACGGTATCACTTGTGATGTCAAGTCTGGCGAAGTGATCGAGCTAGACCTTAGTTGCAGCTGCTTCCATGGGAAAATCAAGTCCAATAGTAGTCTTTTCAAGCTACAAAAGCTTCGTGACCTCAACCTTGCTAACAACTATTTCGAGTCTTCTATGATACCAACTCAATTCAATAAACTCACGGAATTAAGACGACTCAATCTTTCTGATTCTTGGTTGTCAGGTCTAGTTCCAACAGAGCTTCTTCATCTAACCAAGTTAGTGTCTCTCGATCTTTATTCTATTTCTCTATCAGCTGAAAAGTCATTTCTTAACAAACTTGTCCAAAATTTGACAAACCTAGAGGAGCTTTACCTAGGTCTTGTTAACATTTCTTCAGAAATTCCTCAAAATATCTCAAACCTATCCTCTCTTAAATCACTATCTCTTCATGATTGCAACTTGATTGGTAAATTTCCAAGCAGTCTTCTTTTGATTCCTACTATACAAATCATTAACTTGAACGGCAATCAAGATATGCAAGGCTCTCTTCCAGAGTTTAATGTAAACAACTCTCTTGTTTCATTAGACCTCACTCGGATAACTCTTTTAGGTGAAATACCTTACTCCATTAAGAACCTCAAACATTTGAATACTTTGAAACTTCAGTTTTGCAAATTCCATGGAAAGATTCCATCTTCATTTGGAAACCTTACTAATCTATCCGCTCTTGACCTTTCAAATAATCATTTTCGTGGTCCGATTCCTTCTTCGATTGGAAACCTTACTAATCTGTCCCTTCTCGACCTTTCAATTAATCATTTTAGTGCTCCGATCCCTTCTTCGATTGGAAACCTTACTAATCTGTCCCTTCTCGACCTTTCAAATAATCATTTTAGTGGTCCGATCCCTTCTTCGATTGGAAACCTTTTCCATCTCACAGATCTTAACCTTTATTTAAATAGATTCGATGGCCAAATTCCATCTTCACTTGCCAATCTTAAGCAACTTACTAGCTTACATGTTGGTTCTAATATGCTTAGTGGTAGCTTTCCTCTTCCACTTCTCAATCTTACGAAATTGTCAGAGTTATCACTCACTGAAAATCATTTCACAGGTCCACTCCCTCCAAATATGAGTTTACTCTCTAACTTGGAGACTTTTCATGCGAGTGACAACACTTTCAATGGAACCCTCCCTTGTTCTCTCTTCAACATTCCTTATTTGGCTTCTATTGATTTAAATAACAATCAACTCAACGATATTCTTGAATTTGGGAATAGCTCTTCATCATCTAGTCTATTTAGCTTATCACTCAGCCATAACCATTTCAGAGGGTCAATCCCAAAATCCATTTCAAGATTAGTCAATCTCAACCAGCTTGATCTCTCCCATTTTAACACGGGGATGGAAGTAGACTTTGGTATCTTCTCGCAACTCAAAGGGCTCACAGAACTGGACATAAGCTATTTAAACACCACCAACACTGTTGATTTGAATACCATATTCTCAAATCTCAGTGACCTATCTACATTGCATATATCCGGGGTACAAGTTTCAACAACAAATATGCGTTCAGTTTCCAAGCTACCATCAGATTTACATAGGCTGCTCATGTCAGGTTGTGGTATCACAGAATTCCCAAATTTCTTAAGAAGAAACCTACAACTACAAGATTTGTTAACCTTAGACCTCTCCAACAACAACTTCACGGGAAATATCCCGCGATCCATCTGTCAGCAAAGCCTTCTACAAGTCCTTGATTTATCGAACAACAACTTCACCGGCTCAATCCCTCCATGTTTAAGGAATCTGAATACCTATCTTTCAGTACTTAACCTCCGCAATAATCAACTGAGTGGAAATATTCCAGAAATATTTGCCAATGCTACCAATTTATATTCAGTTGACGTTAGCCACAACAAATTGGTGGGAACACTTCCAAGGTCTCTAAAGAGCTGCTCTAGCTTGGAAGTCTTTGACGTGGGAAGTAACACAATCAACGACACTTTTCCATTCTGGTTAAATACTTTGCCTAATCTACAAGTACTTGTACTGCGCAACAACCAATTCACCGGTTTCTTGTACCGTCTTCATCATTCTTTCGGGTTTCCAAAGATGCAAATCATCGACATAGCCAACAATCACTTCACCGGGAGCTTGCCCTCATACTACTTTGCAGATTGGAACATGATAACGCGTGAAGATGTTTCGCGATTTAAATACATTGCATCTCAGGAAGAATATTACCACTATTCCATGGTCTTGATGAGTAAAGGACTAGAGCAGAAACTCGAATGGGTTTTCACTCTCCTAGCAGCCATTGATTTTTCTGGAAATAAACTAGAAGGAAAGATCCCTCAATCTATCGGTATGCTCAAGGATCTTATAGTGCTCAATATGTCAAGTAACAGTTTCAATGGCAACATCCCTTCTTCTTTGGCTAATCTTACTCAACTGGAGTCACTAGACTTATCACATAACAAGCTTTCAGGCCAAATCCCACCTTCTCTTGGAGACCTCAGTAGCCTGTCTAACATCACTGTTTCTCACAACCAGCTGGTCGGTCCAATACCACAAGGCACACAGTTTCAAACGCAAGATGCTTCGTCTTTCGAAGGAAACCTTGGGCTTTGTGGTCGTCCTCTTAGTCTAAGCTGCGGAGACGTTGACATGGAGCCGCCATCACCAGAGATAGAAGAAGAAGAAGAACAAGTTATAAGTTGGGTCGCAGCTGTCATTGCCTTAGCACCTGGAGTCATCTTTGGATTCACAATGGGTAACATTTTCATTCCTCAAAACCCTCAGTGGTTCATCAACAGACGTCGACGATCACGTTAGGTCATTTTAATTGCAAGGTATTCAATCTAACTAAAGAAACCCTAATCGGGTCGGTTTGGTCCGGGTCGGGTCTAACTAATTTTTTTTTTTTTTGTTGGATACGAACCGGGCAGAGATATTTATGGACTCCTTTATCCATTCCCGCCACGGAGTAAAATCCTTCGCCGGCGACAGTGAAGCAGCAGCGACGATGCATTCGTCAAAGATTCTGGGAATGTTAGTGTTCGCTTACAGACTTTGTTCAGGAGAAATTTGCTGTACTAGAAATATTTACTTGCATTTTATACTGCAAATATATCATCCATGCTTATTTTACAATTGGGGTTTTCAGCATTGAAGTTTTGGCTGTGTTCAAAAGAAGGGTTCCTATCAAGAAAAAGAAGAAATCGGGGAATAAAGAAAGTGTGTGCTCCTAAGTAGAACCACAGGACTCTTATTAGTTAATATCTGTAACTTTAGAACTTCAAAAGTTTAGAAGACCATCTAATGGATGAGAAAACAGCTTTGCTCTGCTTCTGTTGATAAAGAGATATGGTTCTTTCGTTCTTTGTGTCATTGCAAGTAGTAAAAGAGATGTGTGTAATATTTATCTTATCAACTTCTGTTGGATATGAAGAGAATGTGCAAAACTGGACAGATACATCTTCAAGAATGGGAACAAAAAACACAAGGCTGCAAGTCATTTTTTACAACACAGGTAAACAAAGTATGTAAATCTTCATTGGGCTTTTCTACCTTTGGATTTTTCCAAGTGAGGAAAGGCTTGTAGAATGTTGTGTGCCCTTAGATCCTGCCTGGTTAAGATCCCTACCACAGGACACATCTGCAAAAGAAATTGAATAGCAACAGAAGTATTAGATTTGTTTATAGGTTTTAGTAAGCAGGAAAGTAAAAGAGAGTTGAAGGCATAAACTCACTCCTGAGGCTTGAATCTTGGGAACAATTAGCAAATGGCGGAGTCCCACTTGCCGGAATAGTACTAAAGCCTTGGCCACAGACATGTTCTCCATGACTGTGTAAGGGGTTGTGTTGGTAAGAGGATGAAGATCAACAAACATTTCCATTTCAGAGCTTGTGATGGCTACGTCGTCGAAGTTGTCTTCTCTTTCAGCCAATTCATCCCATGGAAACTTTTCCCTGACCTCCCACTCCTCTGTTCTTCTTTTCTCTGTCAAGAACCATCTCTTTTTCAGAACTTTAACGAGGTGTGCTCTCAGGATTAGCCCGTGGAGTTCTGTTGCCCCGGTTGCTAAACCCACTTGAGGTACTTCTGCTTCATCTAAAACAGGGAATGCATTATGCGTCGTGTTCCTTAGCACATCAACTATTTTAGAAACCCTTTCTACGCCTTGCAGGGTTACAACTGGGGGTTTAGCATCACCAAGCTCACCAACGCTGAGGTTCCTCATCCATGGCTCTGGATTTGCTTCTAAGAAAGGTAAGCCCTTTAGATGCAATATGATGTCATAGATACTTGGGTTGAAGCTGTCTCCCACAGTTTTGGCAATCAGAAGCACAATCATTGTAATGGGAAGCAAAAGAAGGTTGTTGGTAAGTTCAAGGAATATAACACAGAGTGACACAGTCATTCTCATCGATCCAGCCATGAGTGCAGCTGCACCAAGTACAGCATAAAGCCCTTGGTCAATACTTGTGTAGGAACCCATTGCAGCACCAAGCATACGGCCATATGCAGCACCCATAAGGATGATGGGGAGGAAAAGACCAGATGGTGTTGCAATACCAAATGTGAAAAGCCCCAAGATGCAGTAGAGGACAAAGAATATCCACAGGGAGCCCATCCCATACTCATTAGGAGTGTTGGAAGAGAAAAGGTTTCTGACAGCATCATCGTTGGTGGTGAGAAGCAGAGTAGCCAGATCGTTGTAGTAACCTTTTGGACAATGGAACTGTTTGAAGTTGCCCGATCTTCCATTCGTCGGGCATATCTCATCTATCGAGGGATCACACGGCTTGCATTTAGCCAGGAAAGGAAGGCCATAAAGGCAAACTGATGTGAAGAGTGATACTGTAAGACTGAGAAGCACCTTGTGGATCTTACCCTTCCTGCAATGTGACCAAACAAGGTAAGTAACTAGCTAATAAGGTTTTAATCAAAAGTGTTTCACTATGTTTTTCTTGGAACTTACTCGTTGATCAGATTGTAAAGCCGGAGAACTTTATGCAGAAAGTGATTGTAGAGGCTCCCAAGAATTCCACCAATTACACCAATCAACATGACAGGGATGATGTCAGTTACATGGTAAGTATAAGTTACATGACTCACATCAAACATGATAAGCCCTCCTCTTCCAAATAAGCCACACTTCCCTGAATTGCAGATCTCTATGAACTCTCTCAGAATAACCACAACCACTGCTGTGCTGAAGAAAGTCCTCCACAGTAAGGCACTTCTCCACCAAGTGGCAACTTCCTCAAGGGCAAAAAGCACACCTCCAACAGGTGACCTGAAGGCTGCACATACTCCAGCAGCTGAGCCACATGTAATCAGATCCCTGCGGTCTCTATCATTGTTGAAGTAACGAAGCCATCGCCACTTGATTCGGTGGTTGTCTGTTCCACCTTGTCCAAGCAAAGAAGCTATGCAGCTTCCAATGTGAACCAGAGGACCTTCTTTACCAAGATCAAGTCCAGCTGCAACCGCTCCTATGCTTCCAATGATCTATGAAACCCCGCAAAAACCCGTGAGTCAAAAATCAAACTCATTCATATTATATCTTCTGAAAAATTCTTCACAAATTCAGAAACAAACCTTAACGATCATAGTGGTAGCACCAAACATGTTGGGAGTATCAACACCATTAAGATAAGCTTTGATCTCAGGAATTCCAGGACCAGCCGCCGTGGGAGCAAAACACACACAAAGCACAGACGCCACCAAGGTAAGTCCCAAATTTGCTCCAGCAAGCACCATGAGACCTGTAACATATCTGTTTCCCCCACACAAGACATTATAATCCAATCATACACTAAAGAAACTGAATGTTTTGAATTCATAGATAAAGCTTTGTTTTTTACCTTTCTTGGGTGAGGAAGTGGCCGACGGCAAGAAGCTTGTAGCCAGCTATGTTTTCGACAGCTAAGTTTATGAGAGTGGCGATTAGACCAGTGAAAAGACCAACAAGACAAGCTAATGTCCATTTCAAGAACACGTATTGAAGTACTTGTGCCTTTGATCTTTTTCTCCAATCATGCTTAAACAGATCATTCTCGTTTATTCTGTCAAAAATTTTATCAAAACAATAAGAACAGAGACCCTAAATTCAAGATTATGCAGAGAAGAAGAGGAAGAAGAAGAAGAAGAAGAAGACATACTCATAGTCCAAGCTCTCGATATGGGAAACCTTGGCACCGACCAAAGCAAGTGGAGTTGAAGAAAGAGTTCGATTAGCCTTAACCAGAGGTTGGTTGAGTGTGTTGTTCTCTGGGTCTCTTTCTCCATTGTAATTACTATTACCACCAATCTGGTTTAAATCTTCTCCCACCATATCTTTCTGTCTCTGATCACATAAAGATGAAACTGGCTTTTGGTCGGAACCTCTGCAACAGAACCTTTTTAAGGTTCTTGATGAGCTTTCTTTGTTATCAAACCACTCTGTGGTGGGTTTTTTTTTTTTTTTTTAATGGTTATTATTTCATGCTAATTGGTTTGCCGACTTTTGTCTTTTTCTTTGTTTTTATAGTTTTAAATGTCTACGTATAAATATACGTATATGTACGTTTGTGTATGAATAATTGAATAGTGTCTAAGTTTGGGCGAGACGACGCTTATGCTTGTGAGAGGGTAACCAAATAGAACTATGTAATCCATACATATGCTAAACTACAAGACGGAGACAATGATTGACCATTTAAATATTATGTCTATGTCTACTACAATAGATAACAACGAAAGTTATATAATCAAATTTGTGAATTTTTGTATGTATAACGACGTAGCTAGGGATAAGATTTTGCTATATGTGGCTTACAGTTTTATATATCCAAGAGGGTCTTTGATTAGATGAAAATATATAATTGTAATTCATTTGTCATTCTAACGTATAGTTTTAAGCCAACCAAGAAATTTAAAAAGGCTGTATAAATCAAGTCTTTGGGGTATATAGTTTATGAGTCTAGTCCGGTGCTCTCTAGTGATAAGACTTTAGAAGGCTGCTTCTGGTGGTTGCGATGTGATGAGAGTAGCTGTATCTTGGTACGAGTGCATTAACAGGTTTACTGATTTGTTGTGCCATAATAAGTGGTTCTCCGATCCAAAGTCCATTATTAAGACCCATTTGGTTTAAGTTTAAGTAGGAGGCCAACTAAAATATTGCATGTCATTATGACAAAATGTGGCCACATGTTATGATTGGATATTACTGGTAGTAAAACAAAAAATCACACTAAAGTGACTATATGTGTATTTCATTAGATATTCGAGCAAATGTTGTCATTGGTCTAAGACTTTTCTAGTTTGGATTGAGAGACTTCAAAAATTTCACGTCTCGTACATCTATCTATATTAACATTTTTGCAATAGTTTTTGAGAAAAAAAACTTATTTACAATGGTATGCCATTAACATTAATTATTTATTCAAAATATGGATTTAATCACATTTAACAAAATTTCTAAAATCTCTCAATGAGAAATACAAAATCTTCATTTTACCATTTTTAACAAACAATAAAGGACATATATAATCAAAATGATTGAATAACTATAAATTATTTTTATATAAAATATTGGAATCGCTTATATATATATGTATAATTCTTTTTGTGAGCTCATATAGTTTTGAAAAAGAGATTTTTTGCAAATGCCTTTTTCTATTTTATTATTATTTTAAAATATTCCTTTTATTATCTATTTTCAAAACTACATTCTTTAGTGTACAAAATGACTAATTAGGATGGATCAAAATTCGGTCATTTCAACAAATCTCTTATTTATCTACCGGAATGGAACAACAATGTTTTTTTATCTTTGCATAGTCTCTTATTTATTTGACGGATAATAATTTATTAGTTAATAAAATTATATTTTCAATAATTAACTCTAATAAAAAAAATTTCCCAACAACTCTTATAGAACTGAAATACATATTATTGATTGTATACTTAATTTATATATATATATATACATGATGTCTTTCAGTAAATTTAGACAAACTAGATAGAAAGTTTGAATTAAAAATTAGTACTAAATTTATCATAATAATATTTCAACTTAAATTATATACTGGATATGAAATGCATTTCAAAATCATACAAATTCTTTCCTAAATTATTAAAAAGTATATTAAATCTTTCATTTCCTCTTTTGATCTCCTTTGCTTCTATTTCATCATTCATTTGCCTTTATCTCATTTTTGATGACTTACCTCATTCCTTAAAAAGATTTCTCAATTCTCAATTCTATTGTTTTGTCCCTCGAATCTTGTTGTTGTTGTTTTGTCTCTCAATCATAATTCTTATAAAGATTGTTTATGCTCCATCTATCAAGAAGGTAGCCGCTCCATCTAGCAAGGTCACTGCTGAAAAAGTCAGATGAGAACTTTCTTGCACACTAATGCCTACAAACATGTGAGAGTGGGAATGACCGATCGACATGCACAAATCACATGTAATCAATGATAAAATGATTATTCAATTCCCTACCTTTAAAATCGTTTATGCTCGGGATCACATGAGTGTGGCTAAAAAAACAGAAAATACATAGATATAACAACATCACATGTATGAAAGCTTTTAATGTATGTCTTCGAGATACTTATGTCATTAAGGCTGCTAATATGCCAATGGGTTTTCTTATGTCATCTATATATATAAAGTTAACTTTTTCTCTCTTCTCCTTAAGCCACATTATCATCCACCTCATTTTATTATTTAATTTTTAAAATTAATTATACCATTTTATCATTTAATTTTAATATTTAAACCTATGTAAATAAGTTTTTCCAAAATGAATATGAAAGGTCTTTTTAATATATTATACATTATAAAACTAAAAAAGATAACTGATTAAGAGTTAAAAAAACTTACTAATTATAGATTATACTAACAAATATATAAATAATAGATTATAGTTTTTAGTGAATGTTTAAAATATATATATGCTTATTTTTACACAATGTAAACCTAAATACAATGGGATTTAACGGGAATAAAACAAAAAGTAAGAAATTTTGAGAGTATAAATTAATCTAATTTATGTCTCAAAACATTTTCTAACATAAGTGAGATAGGTCGGACCGAAACATGAATTCTTATTTTTATAAACATATAAAAAGGTAAAAATAAAAATAATATTTCTTTAAAAGTTTCCAATATGAAATTTAACTATTTGTTTCCAATACAACACATATGTTAAGCTAATAAACAAAATAAAAAATTAACTATATTTCATAAAATTGAAAATTAAAATAAAACAGTATTAAATGAAATAAACTAAATATAAAGTAAATTATACTAATATATTAAATTTAAAAATTGTTCCATATGAAAAAACAAAAAAAAATATATAAAACATTAAATCAGAAAAATATAATAGTATATAAATGATCATTACGAGATATAAAGTACGACAAATCCAAAAAAAAACAAAAAACAAAAAATAATAAATTATGACCATATATAAAGAGATAATGCAAACAATTAAAATACAACAATCCGCCCGAAACCCACAAATCATGTTCAAATTTCATGTCAACATATAAAAGGGCCCAAAATATTAACATCTAGATCTATATTTGGTAAAAACCCTAATAGCACACGTTTATCAATGATTCTCAACCGCACTTCCATTTACGCTCACACTTCGACTTATACTATACACACTTAATTTCTTAACGACTAATGAAGTTAAAACTCAATAGTTTTTCTATACAAACACAATTTAAGTTTTAAAAAAGTAAAGTATGGTATAGTGAAAAAATAAGTAGGAAATAAAATACGAACCAATTACTCATAAACAATATAATAAACTCCCGCGCGTAGCGCGGGCAACCGACTAGTAAATTTATGTAATTAAGGTTGATACGCCACTATATCATGTTGCTAAAATTCCGCTTTTCAAATGTAATGACTGAGATTAAAATAAATTAAATATATTAAAATGAATTTTATATGCATACAATTACAAATGTTATAAATGATATCTTATTTGTCATATATAGTCCATTAAATTATTAAAATTTTAAAATTTATTCACATCCCTATATTAGTAAAAGAGAAGTACAAAAAATACTTCCGGGTCGGGTTATATTTAAAAAATGATCCGAAATTTAAAATTGGATACTTAGAAATCGGGTTAAAAATCGGGTATGGATATTATCCATTAATTATTAAACTGCGAGAGTATTAGTATTGACTATTAGCATCATTAGCTTACAAAAATCAGTTATTCTGCCGTTTAAATGCGATGCTAAATATTCCACTAATTTAGGTAACTATAATAATTATACAATCGTATTTTTAGAAAATAATTTTAAAGTTAAATATGAAACTTTTAAGGGTGATTAACAAAAGCGAATTGTTAGGAAATAGTTGTAATCATTAACTAAAAAAACGTCAATTCTAATATGTAAACTACTCCGTAATCTTTGCAATTATATTTGTTATTCATTTCAAAATTTTATTAAATGCTATCCAAAAATTAGTATTGTTTACATAATCTTAACGGGTTTTGTTTAATTATCTACTTAACTATGGAAATATGAACCATATTTAAAATATATAAAATTTATATACGACCAAATTTCCATGAATATTTATTTGAATATACTCTGAACCCTAAAATTCTTACAAAATGCTATATATATCATCATATTCATCATGAACTTAACTTCATTTGAACTCTTCAACGCAATTGCATCTTCGTTTGAAAAAAAACGCTTTCCCAGGATCTGATTTGAGTATAAATCATCTTGCTTCTTTGGTTTTAGAATAATAGAATTAAGAAGACAATGATTTAAAGATTGGAAGGTGTTAAATCGTTAAATCTTCAAGGAAACATGAAAGAAAGCGAATTTTAGTAAAAATTCTGGAATTTGTCGATTGAGTTTCTGATTTTTTCTGTCCATTATTGAACACAGCTTCCAAAAGAAAAAGGAAAAAAAAAAAATCAGATTTTGTGTAGGAAAATAAAGTATAAACGGGATTTACCATGAAGTCTTTAACCAAAAACAAAATAAAGTAACTACATTTATTTTCAGATTGAAATATTTTGAGCTAGAAATAATAAATCATTTAAGTTTAAATGAGTTAGTGAAATATTCGTAATCAATATTTAATTGGTTTTTATTTTCTTTTGCAACTACCAAAATATTACCATTAATATATAGGAATATTATTTTTATTTTTAATTAAAAAAAATAATAAACGAGGATCCGATTTGTGATTTTAGGTCGTAAGTTTAATTTTGTACCGATACAGAATACATATTTACGAAGTTAACCTTAATAACTTGGGATTAATAGTGTTTAAGACATTGAATTTTTGAAAATCGATTGCAAAAAAATGATTTTAACACAAAATGTACTTCAAAAATGTATATATAGATAGATATAAACCAATTTGAATACATTCTAAACTCCTTTTTTCTTTCATGATATATAA